TTAATACCCTGCGGCTCATTTACACACTCGGTCTGATGAGAAATAAATGAAGCAGGACACGCAGCATCTTCTGGATGTTGAAGCACATGCAGTGAAGTGCCTTCTGCCCATCTTCTCGGCCTTGTCGCACTCGATTCTCTATTTCACAGATAGCTCACGGGTGACCAGGCTTCATTCACCATACAATAATGAGGGATTTTCTCAAAGAATTACCCAGGCAACAACACTCATTCAACACTCGCTGGAGTTCAGTTACACTCTTAAGTCTTTGCAGCTGCCCCTTACAACCCCTCGACCACCTTCATTGAAGTCTACCCTACATTTTAAAATGATTCAATACAAGAATGCATACAAAACATTTTTTTAATCAAATTGCACAGGACTTGATCCTTAGGCACCCAAAACTGTGAATTTTATCTTGCAGGCTGATCTTTGATTGACCAGCATGTCCCTTGGAAGAAAATATTTCCCATTAACACTGATTATATCATTCACGGTTTTTAGGCAGATGCGAAACAGGGAAATAGTATTCTGACTGTTGACTGGCACTCTGTACAATGCTGAGACCTCACACTGCCCTCTGCTGACATCCGTCATTCACCCATCACCACTCCTATCTGTTTTACAACAACAAATCCTCTTAGCAGCTGCACCACTTTACTTATACAAACATCTATTTTAAAGGCCTTGTTAGGACATTGAAACAGCAAAGTTGTAAATGAAAAGTTCAGTTGTGATCATACCGTTGTGCTGTCATTCTTTAATGTTCGACTGAGCAGACCATTATTAAAAAAGTGATAGTTTGTGTGCACTAAATCCCAATGCTCTTACTTCTTTTTATCATCTCCCTAAAGGGCCCTTCATACTCCATCCAAAGCAGCCAAATCGTCTCTCGTTGACATGGTTGCGTGACAAAAATCACATAATTTTGTTCTCAGAGTAGCCCCATCTCGACGCGAGGCCCAGGATGAACTTTTTCCCACATGAGTGTGCACCAAATATCGTGTGACTGGTCAGAAGTTTGTGGACGTGTTCGTCAATGCTGAAATGCGCTCTGACATTCTACTGTACGACTCTTCAAACACTAAATGATTCAAATGGCCAAAAACTCCTGGACATGTATGGAGGAGCCTGTCTGCTGAAAAGTGTGGTACTTTTTTCATGATGGCTTTGTGGTCAAATGGAGGATGCAGGGATGGACAGGAGCCTCTGGCTGGAAGAAACCCGTGCGCTGATGTATCCTGCAGCAGGAGAGGTTTCCCAAGAGCGCTCTGCACCTGTGTCCCCTGGACTAGTCAACCGCTCAGCTTCGGATGGAGTACGCCGGGCCCTTTACTCATACGGCACCGCTGATTCTCCATTGTTTGATTTGATGATGCAACTGCAGAGATCAAATTGCCAGAACTGGAGTTTGTAGTTGCTCAAAAATCTTATTTTAAAAACATTTGGCAAATAGTACTTGAGTAATGCAACTTATCTCATAAATATATTCAGACTTAAATCTTATTGGTCAGTAATGGAGTTTTAAAAAAGGTTTTTAAACTTGATGCTGCATGACTCTTAGTCCTCCAGTCAACGATACATGCAAGATGCCACTTAGAAGTGAATGGCCATCTTTGTGAGGGGTTACTATACTTGTTCCCAGGCTTGATTTCATTACTGTTGTAGTTTTCTGCTCATCACTTTATAAACTTGTCACCGTCAGTAGTGGAGAGGAATGCGCTGATGCAAATGCTTTGAATAGAAAAATTGTGGACAGTCAGGAAACAAAACATGCTGGCATCTCATTCTTGAGAGTATTTCTCATCTCCTCTTCTTAGGAGTTACCAGCGCCTGTAGGGATATTGAATATATTTACTTTGTTGTATTTGCTTAATGACCAATGTTGTGTCACCTGTTCTGCCATTGATTCAGCCCCAGCTAGGTTTGGCTCAGGTCACACAGTTGCTCACAGCTCCTGTTTCCTCTTCTTGCAATCTGATTCCGCTCACCTGCTTCTTGTTTAGCAAAATCTTGCTTCATCTCTTTGTGGCTAATAGCAAACTACACTCTCTTATTAATATAATGTTTTACATTTAACATATTGGGGAAAAAATGTATTTTTTTAATTGTTAAATTGAGATTAATTCAATCTGAATGAACAACCCCACACATCACATGGCCGCTGTTTGCGACAGCTAAGATAAATCTTGAATCAGTATGTCTTTACTTGATATGGGCACTAAGTAGTTGGCAAATATTAAAGTTTATGATTGCACTAGTACGGTTTGCTTGGCAATGGTGTCGGGAGAAAGCCACTTCCATCTAAACACAACACATTAGATATGAAGTGTTGCATCTGAAGAAATCGCAGGATGCCCTGAACAGTGTTCTTTGACTAGATCAGAACAAAATGGAGATTTAGTGCTGATATGATCTTTATTTTTTTTACAAACACGACTCTGTGCATCAATTAATAAGCATTATGGTGGATGGATGATGATTTTAGTGTTGTTGTTGTTGTTTTTTGCTACAACACATTTGCATTGATTCAAGCAGAAATTATTTTATACATCAAAGTATTTTTAAAGTTAAATGTGTGAGTCTTGGCCTGCTATTGCAAGATGTAGCAAATTCAAAGTAAGAGGTTGGAGGTAAACGTATTGCAACGGCCAAATATTCAAATATTGAGTTAAGACCCATAGATACATTTTCAATAAATGAATGCCAACCATTCTTAATGAATGAAAGAAACTGTATGAAGACGAGAGGGCTAAAAGTCCTCTACAATATTAAAAAAATAAACTGATATGGAAATGCAGAACAGTTGAAATTACACCTTACGTTTAGTTTTCAAATACATACATTTCAGCTGGCGTTCTTGGTTTTTCCAAGTTATACCGCTACATTTAATATTTTTACTTTAGAATGTGGCATAAAAATATCATGTATTGTTCATCTGGACCTACCTTTAAGAGACTGGTAGAAATATTACTTCAGTCCATAAAACCTTCAACAGAAAGTGGACCTGTATGACGTGACTGTAAAACACTTTGAATATTGTTGGAGAACTGACTGTAACCTGATTTTTCTGTAAGGAAAATGCACCAAACACAAAGCACATGGTTCAGTAAGAACAGGAAATGTCAGTCATCGAGGAACAGGGTGGAACTGAAGTGCAGTCTTTTTTATCTTTGGCAGCTTAATTGTGGAGCTATCTGTCACCATGTTCCCACATTACACTGACCATGTTCATGTGTGTTTTTATGCGTGTAAGCCGATGGAAGTGCATCTGAGAAGTTTTCGTGTTATCCGATTTACTGCTTGTTTAAACAACAGTTTGGATACATGAGTGTAACAGCTTAGTTTTTTTTATTTTTATTTTGACCTAATCCAGGTGGAGGAGGAAAAGCTTGAACATTATCTAGATTTTTCAGTTTAGTAAATGAGTCTCTGGTAGCCGACACACACGGGTTGTTTTCAGCCGAACATTTTGCTGATTACGATAAGTTTAATCCGAATTAACGTTTTGGCTCCGAGCTTGCAGACGGAAAGAATTTCATGAACACATTTGTTTTGTTTCAATCACAATATATTATTTCAAGTTGACTTCCCTTATGTCATTCATAAAGTCTGGCTGTGGCTAGCACAGACAGTGGACCCTCTGTGGTTACTGATTGAAGGGTTAATAACTGCATAGTTTCAGCGTATTACTCTTACCACCCAGTCTTGTTCGTCCATCTGAACAGCACAGAAACACATTGGTGCTGGTGGAGGAATGCTGCTGAATGCTGTCCTGTTCAACAACCCTGCTCTTGTGAAAGCACTTGGCAGGGCTGCAGCCACAACGCTCTCCTCAGCTCCCATAACGAAAGCCACTTTGTTTGGCAGCCGTTGCCATGGTGGGAAGGTTTTTTTTTCTTTCAGATGAGAGGGGAGCATATATGTGGACTGAACGTTTTCAAACCACTTCTAGAGAAAGCCTTTAACAAAATATGCAGTGTGTGTTCACTGTACAGTTATGGGAAAAAAATGAATGACCAGAAGATGTGGAAAACATGCAGTTTTTTTTATGTTGGACTGCACTTCAAAATATAATCTTGTGTTTGATGAACTTGTATCAGCACTTTCTTTTCTTTCACTAATGTAAAAAAACATCCATCCATCCATTATCTTTACCCACTTCTTCCTTTCCGGGTCAAACAAACGGGTAAAAAACACATGGTCTAGGGATGCACAATATTATCGGCAGGGTATCGGTATCAGCCGATACTAGTGATAAAGTTCAATATCAGACATCGGCTATTCCATCAAAATAACTCACGATATAAAAGGCACTGTTTATATATGTATTTATAAGGCGCTGTTTTTGTATGACAACCCAGTGACAAGGATGCCTGCAGCGCCAACACAGCGTTATGACGTCACGCGCACCGTTCAGTTTAGATTTGTGAAAATTTACAAATTTGCACTGTTCTAGTGTTGTCATTGTGTTAGAGAGAGTAAATATCATGAATAAATTTGACATTAAACATAATCCAAGTTGAAGTGTTGCATCATTTTCAGCCCCCTTTTTGGCATCTGCATTTGGTAGCAGGCCAAACTGACAAAGACCACGCAGAATAATGTAGTAGTTTAATTCCACAGGAGATATATATATATATATATCTAGTCTCTGTAAGTAGGTCTAGGGGGGAAATATTGGTTTTGTTATCGGCTAAATAAGTTTTAACATATCGGCGTATTGGATTTCGGCCAAAAATCCAACATCGTGCATCCCTAAAATGGTCTATAATAAATTAAACGAGTGTGGTGACACTTGATGCTTATTCAGTTAGCTTACATATGTAAAACATTATATAGATGCGTATTATAGAAACAGTAAACAGTCATGCTGTGTCAAGCAAAGTTTTAGTTCTGTGTTTTTTTTCCTGATTTTCACTTCTATGCAAAATCCGGTGAACTGAAACTTAGGGAGATGAGAATATTTGCTTCTAACGAGCTATGTCTTGTCTTTGCAGCCTTTCTTCAGACTACTGAACTTACGGAAGCTCGGCCTGAGTGACAATGAGATCCAGAGACTTCCTCCTGAGGTGGCCAACTTCATGCAGCTGGTTGAACTGGACATCTCCAGAAATGGTACACACGAACAAGTTCACTTTAAAAACATTTTTACATAATCATACTTTAAAATCTCAAGCAGAAAACCTGTTATGTTCGTGAAACAAATGTTAAGTAACAGGAGCACATCAGAGAATAAACACACCATAGGAAAGTAAATAGAATAAATAAACCAAAAAAAAATCTATGCTGCCTTCAGTCAGAGATGGTTCAGAAATGTGATATGAAATGGAGATCAAATAAGTTTGATGTTCTTGTTTGCACCATGCCCTTTCTGTGTCCTTACACAGAAACAGATACAGGTGTCAGGATGTTTCTCTGTGGCAGATATGAGACGTGTGGTGTGCAGTGGCCTAGAAGAGCCTTTCCCTTCTGTCCGCTTTCCTGCTCCTGCTGCAGTGCAACTCCGAGCCGGATCAGTGGGACGGGCTACTCTGCTCTGTAGGGATTTCTTAACATGCACCTGCAGTTTCCAGTGCTAAAAGTTCCTCTGATTAGGCTGCTCAGATCACTTCCTGTGTCTTTGTCCATTATTGCACACACAACACTGAGACAAACGTTTATTTATGAAGCTGTTTGTTACATGATGGTCAACTACTTCCTAATATCAGAGCAACATTTCCCCACAAAAATAATTTGTGCTTTGGTAAAGCTCAGATTTCCACCTGCATTGTGATGTAATCTAAAAAGAGCAGTTTAATGGTGGCGAATAAGTAGGATTATTAGTAATGGTCAGCTGGTAATGTTTTGTCACTTAAACTTGTAAGATGACACCAAAAGTTATGACACTTTAATATATTTATATTTTTTTATCTGCCTTTTGCAAATGTGTGTTCATGCATGTTACTATGAACAGGACATGAAATGCTTTTAGACACAGAGGCAGGGATTATCCAGGCTTAGCTTTGTTATAAGTGGAAAAATACAAGTAATTGTTCAAATGTGGTTACACAACATTGGCTGATGGTTGAAAATAAAAGCATTATTCTGTGGTTCGTCATGTTCTTCATACTAGAACTTCCTGTTAAGAGTCTTTCTTGGGGTTTTTGTTGTTCACAATCATCATAATACAACTTTTGTACACTCAGCATATTTGTGTGTGTCTGTGTGACTGAACTTTACCTTTCTATCTTGGCAGACATTCCTGAGATCCCCGAGAGCATTAAGTTCTGCCGGGCCTTGGAGATTGCCGATTTCAGTGGAAACCCCCTCTCCAGGTAAATGACTTGTGACAGCAAGTTTCTGCACACTAGTGCTTTTTTTTTGGTCAGGATTAAAATATTAAGTCTCACCAGGTAAAGCAGCTGTGGTATTTGCAGAATGTGTTGTTGAGCGTTTTAAGACTGTTATATGGCTTGCACTTCTGCAAAGAGTGTGCAAAGTGTGATTCTGGACATAGTTTGAGTTCCAAGAAAATATTCTGCACGGTAAACATACAAGTGCAAGACTGAGGATTTTGTCACCATGATGCTCTGAAACAACAATGGCCAAGTTTACGAATAGTATGACAAGTAAACTTCCCTTACACCTCCCTATAAAGACCGTATTCCACTGTTCTGGAGCATCTAATTTGGTATTTTACCGTTTTTCTTTCTGGAGGAAAAGCTCTGATATAATTTACAATTGTTTGAATATCTAAGAGTTATCAAGCTATAATCGATTTCCTGCATTTTTATTTATTTATTCCTTCATTTGTTTAAAAGAAACAAAATAAACACTGAATAAAAAGGGTGCAGAAAGAAGAAGAAAATTCTTACATCTGCCCCTTATTAAAAATATATATAAAATAACTCCAAACGAACAACAACAACCTACGCTTGAACATCTCCAAATTGAAAACAAAAAATATTATGCATCCTTCACTTGGCACCATAATTTCCCAACAATTTTAACTTAATCATCTTTTTAAACATATATGTATGCTATAACTATATAAATAGTTTGAGAGATTTTTATGGTGATATCAAGGCAATTCTATTCTCTGAATTAAAACGCAGCGCTCCTTCAGACTAGTTCTAAATGGAGGTTTTACAAACACTTCCATTCCCTTAAAGTTATAATGACTCTCTTTTTTTTTAACTAATTTTAATTGAATATTTGGGGATATTTTTTATTAGCTTGATACATGATGTGTAAAATACTATATTCAACCAAATCTAAAATTTTAATAATTTCAATTGATGAAATAATATATTTGTTGGGTGACCATAGCACTTCCTACTAATAATTCTTATAGCTCTTTTTTGTAAAAGGAAAATAGGATTTGTAATTGTTTTGCATGCTTTTCTGTAAATTTCAATGCAATAGATTAAATATGGAACAATCATTAAATTATACAATATATACAACGCTTTGTCATTCAAAACTTTTTGACTTTATACAGTAATAAAATTGATTTTGCTATTTTTATTCTTAAGTAATTTACATGAGATTTCCATGTCAGCTTCTCATCTATAATGACACCCCCAAATTTAATTTCATTAATTTTTTGAATTTCAATACTGTCAATTTTAAATGGGACTTTGATAATTTTATTTATATTACTAAATATCATGTAGTTAGTTTTTTTCCAAATTTAATGATAACTTGTTAAGTTGGAACCAAGTTTGTATTTTTACGAATTCTGCCTGTATCATCTCTATCCATCCGTTCAATATCTTCACCCGAACAAAACAATGTGGTATCATCTGCAAATAAAACACACTTCAAAAGCCCTGACACATCATTCAGATCATTCACATACAAAACAACTTTGGTCCCAACACAGAGCCCTGAGGAACTCCACATCCATTACCACCAAATTCAGATCTTACATTGTTTACCTATACAAACTGTCTTCTATTATTCAAATAACTAGATACTCACTGTAGTGCTAACCCTCTAATGCTGTATTTATTCAGTTTTTCAAGAAGGGTGTGGTCAATAGTGACGAAGGACTTTTTTAAATCAACAAAAACACAAACACATATACTGTTTTTGATCAACAGCATTTGTTTTCTCTTCTATTAGTTCCATGAGAGGCAAAGATGTTGAATTATTTGCTCTAAACACATATTAACTACTACTTAAAATATTGTGTTTATCTATAAATCAATCTAATCTGGTTACAAATAATTTCTCTAATATTTTTGAAAATTGTGGCAACAAGGATATTGGTTTAATTAGTGAACACACATTTCTCACCGTTCTTATAAAGAGGAATTATCTTAGCTATTTTCATATTTTCTGGAAATTTTCCTGTTGAAAATGATAAATTGCATACATGTGTAAATGGTTCAATAACATCACTCATACATTACAACAAAAGCCTGTGAATATCTCGTCTTTCTGCTTCAGGTTGCCTGATGGTTTCACTCAGCTCCGAGCACTGGCTCACCTTTCCCTCAACGATGTGACGTTACAAACGTTGCCCGGTGACATTGGGAAGTATGTATACATCAATGACTTCTGGTAGACCGGTTAAGAGAAAATGGGATTTTTGGTGTAATTGAAAAAGCAAAAATGTGTTTTGCACACTAAAATGTCTTTGAGATGTTAAATATTGTGCATAAGTGAATGCTTCTGCTGCGGAAAATTGTTTTAAAATAAGCAATTTTTAAAAAAATTACACTGAAAAGTGTATTTTAATCTAACAAATTTTTAATTGCAACCTTGAATGACAGCTTTCTTACATGGGTGAGAATAACCTTTACGCAGAATAAATTCTGTGAAAGTGTTAAACTCTCATAACCACGCTGTTTCTCTGGTCCACGTTACCAGACTCAGACCATTGATGCTTTTAGAGTCTGTACTGGTTTGTGGATAGTGTAATTCTGTGTCCCACTGTGCTCTGAAGCAACTGGGTTCTGGTGGGGAGCACTGGTGTTCAGGCAGATGGAAGAGCCCCTCACCGTGCCAGGCAGCCCACACAGACAGACAGACTTGCCATCTGACTAACCAACATGCCTCTCTTTCCATTCCTCCCCCCTTGTCTCTTGCCAACTCCTACTCCTCTGCCACTCCTGTATCAGTCTGGCCAACTTGGTGACGCTGGAGCTCAGGGAGAACCTGTTGAAGTCTTTGCCCACGTAAGTGTCAAATCTGCTCGGTGTTCATGAGCGGGGTTTGGTTTTCTTATTGTTTAGTCTTCATCAACACAATGAAAGATAGCTGCTTAAAGCTGTTGTACAAATATTTTATTAAAGTGGGATTTTGTGGAAACGTTATGAACAATTACCGTAATTTCCGGACTATAAGTCGCTACTTTTTTCAAATGCTTTGAACACTGCAGCTTATACAATGCTGCGGCTAATTTATGATTTTTTTTTATGGGCTAACGAGCTTCATTTCACCAAAACATTTAGCTCTGCCACACATAGGTGCTCACATAGCTGCCCAATACATGTCAATGACTTCCTGGTAGACTACTGTATTTAAAAAAATAAAAAATCAGCCGTGTTACAGGCACTGTTCAGAAAAAAACATTTACTGTATTTGTGCTTGTTACCAGTACATATTTAATTAAAAGTAAAAAAAAAAAAAAAAAACTTTCTGTGTAAATATATCATGTTACAACGTGAACACCAGCAGCTTATAGACAAGTGCGGTCTATTTATGTAAAATTGTAATTTTCTTTTTAAATTTAGTGGGCGCGGCTTATATACAGATGCACTCGACAGTCCAGAAATTGCAGTATCATCAGACCTGTTGTAGATGACTCTTAGAACAACCTCGATTTGGAGAAACAGTTTAATTTTGGCTAAACTGACAAGCTAAGACTAGTCTGAACCGGGCCAAGTCCACAGTGAACTGCTGCCATCACCACCATGAAGATTGCCTCACCTGGTTATTTTAGAATTCTGCTGTTATTTGCAAGCACAAATAGCAGTAGTGACAATTAGCTATAGCACTTCCTGTGCAGACATGGGCACTTCAAACTGCAGTTATGTGACACTGATGGTAACATCAAGTTTATAAAATAGTGTTTCTATGAACGAATGTGAGATTTTTGGGATTGGAGTAATTTAAAAATGAAGTTGGTCCCACTTGAACTAGTTATTAGCTTAAATGAGAATGATATTCCTCCAAATGGAGGTTGTTAAAAGAGCCAATAGTTAGTTCATAACCTTTTCACAAAATCAAAGTAAAACATTTTTAACCTTTTTAAAGAAAGAAATGTAATATAATGATGCAAACCTTTAATTGTCTTTAGCAAAATAAGTTTAAAAGTAATCTATGATCATGTCATTACAAATGACTGAATGGCATGCTCTTATCGTGTGCAGATTAAACGCTGGCGTGAACTAACTGCTTGTGCTGTTTCATGTTCAGGTCACTCTCTTTCCTGGTGAAACTGGAACAGCTGGACCTTGGCAGCAATGAACTGGAAGTTTTGGTTTGTGAACATCTTATCTGCTTTATTCTTTCCATACACGCAGATAACTCAATGTGTCACTAAGTCACATTTAATCTTTGTGCTATCAGAGGGGCTCACACACATCATGAGCATGCTGCTGTAATTAGTATCCAAATGTTTACCTCGTCAAACAAAGCAGAGGCAGTTTGTCTGAACCAATTCCTCAGAGATCTACTTTTATCCCAGGCACACCCACCTGTCTGAACAGGACAGGGTAAACAGTTTGTGATAAGCTGACAGAAGGTGGACGCTGAGCAAACGGTGACATCATGACGAAGCCCAGCACCTACATTCTCCTTTCATTTATGTGCAAGATTTTATTTTGATTTCAACTTGACAGCTACGCCCAACATGCGTCTTATGTTAAAGTTTTAAACAAAGATGGAGGAATATCCAACTGGAGTCATTCCAGTTTGAGACTCTCTTACTTACCTCTGATCAATTGAAAAAAGATGGATTTGTCTAAAGAGTTGAAGTCATGACATCACAAAGTTCATCTACAGAAGCTGTTTTTGGCTAATACTTTGCACTCACTCTGACTCTTGAGTGTGTTGTGCTGAAGCCCCATTCCTTTAATTGTGCGCCCTTAACAGTTGACCTATTTTTATGTGCTTTTTTTTTTTTTTAAGTTTCTCTCCTATTTCATCTTGTGTTGTTTAGCCGGACACACTCGGAGCTCTCCCCAACCTGAGGGAGCTGTGGTTAGACCGTAACCACTTGTCTTCATTACCACCAGTAAGTGCAGCTTCGATAAACAAGCCCCTTGAAAGCAGTCTTTTCTCTACTTCAGCTGTAAAATAATGATTGTGCTGGGCTTTGATTGCACGCTGTAAGCATGAATTTTACTTTCCACCTGTTTAGGAGTTGGGAAACCTTCGACGGTTGGTTTGTCTGGATGTCTCAGAGAATCGACTGGAGGAGCTTCCTTCAGAGCTGAGTGGCCTCTTGGCTCTCACCGACCTGCTGCTCACACAAAACCTGCTCGAAGTCATCCCAGACAGCATCGGTGAGAAAGTATAAAAGTTATTTGACTCGTTGAGTTGGATGGAAAATATCCTGCTCACGTGAACTGTCCTTCGTCTTCTGTAAAAATGACATCAGCTTTGGCCAAAGTGCATTTTTTCATAACAAATAAAAGACTACTGGTAATAAAGGTTTGTAGGCTCAGTCATCCCCAGGCCTCCCTTGCAAAAGAGATCTGTGATCTCACTGGGATTTGCCTGGTTAAATAAAGGTTAATAATAAATAAATAACCAGTACTGGTTTTTGATTAAGGAAACCGCAATCCTTACTTGTGTGCCAGTTTAAGGTAAACAGAAGCGGTGCTGCCCTCTACTGGAAAAATAATTAAAATAGTCAAATCTGGATTTGACTATCCATCCATCCATCCATCCATTTTCTTTACCCGCTTATTCCATTTTGGGTCACGGGGGTCGCTGATGCCCATGTCCAGCAATCACTGTGTGAGGGGCGGGGTACACCCTGGACGGGTCGCAAGTCCATCACAGGGCCACACAGAGACAAACGAGACAAACAACCATTCACTCTCTCACTCACACCTAGGGACAATTTAGAGTTACCAATCAGAAAAAAACCCACTCATGCACATGAGAGAACATGCTCCAGCTCTACCAACTGCACCACCGTGCCGCCCAGATTTCACCGTGGTTTATTTAAAATATGAGCAAAATTTTAATCCCTGGTAAAGAAAGTTTATTAAAAATGGTAAATCTTTTTTTTTTTCTCAAGGTTGTTTAAAACAGCTGTCCATTCTGAAGGTGGACCAGAACCGTCTGACCCACTTGACTGACTCGATAGGAGAGTGTGAAAACCTCACAGAACTTGTGCTGACAGAGAATCTTTTACAGGTACAGATCTTTACACTGAACATGTTGAGATTTAAACCCATGAGAAGCAAAATGTTGGTTTTCCATTTCACCAGTTATCACTGAACACTTCCTCACTCTCTTCCTTCCTCACAGTCACTTCCTCGTTCGCTGGGCAAGCTGAAGAAGCTGACAAACCTGAATGTAGACCGAAACCGCCTGAACAGCGTGCCCAAAGAGCTGGGCGGCTGCGCCAGCCTCAACGTCCTCTCACTGAGAGACAACCGCCTAGGCAAGCTGCCCTGTGAGCTGGCAGATGCCACAGAGCTGCATGTTCTGGACGTGGCTGGAAACAGGTACCTTTAACGAGCATCATGACTCTTTTATTAACAAACAGCAGCTTTTGCTGCTCAGACTGTGTTTCCATAAGAGACAAGTATCCTACAAACCTGCATGATCTTTTTAATCTGATCAAGAGCAAACACTAAAGTATTTGAAAGTTTTCTCATTTAACATCATCATGCAGATCACTTTTTTTTTTTTACTTTGGCTCATTTGATCAACCCCTTTTCTTGCCCAGATTACAAAACCTGCCTTTTGCCCTGACAAACCTCAACCTGAAGGCCATGTGGCTCGCAGAGAACCAGTCACAACCGATGCTCAAGTTTCAGACAGATGCCGATGAGCAAACAGGAGAGAAAGTGTTGACCTGCTATTTACTGCCCCAGCAGCCTTCACCGAGCCTGGGTGAGCATTATGTTTGATGCCAGTCATGTATCTTTCTGTCTAATGAACCTTCTGTTTTGACTTGTAAGGACTTTGGCTAAAATCAGATATGAGTTTAATTTAGAATAAATAAAATGTACTGCTTCTGTTTGCCCACTTTACATCCTTTCTTTCTCCACAGAGAACTTGCTGCAGAACAGCAGGGATGATAGTTGGACCGACAGCAATCTGAACAGAGTTTCAGTCATTCAGTTCCAGGAAGAGACCAAAGCTGATGAAGAGGAAGATGATGATGAAGTTGCTGCAGAGCTCAGAGTGAGGAAATACAGCGTTGATGTTTAGACAATTCGCCCCTATCATCATAAATACTCACCTTCTCTTTTGTTTACTGCTATGCTAAATTATAGTGCATAAAACAAAGTGTTTAGTCTAAACAACAATTTATTTATTTATTTCAGGGCCTCCAGCGCAGAGCCACACCACACCCCAGTGAGCTGAAGGTGATGAAGAAGGTGATAGAGGAGAGGAGGTATGAAGCCTACTCCTCCAGACCTGATGGAGAAGAAGAGTCACACAACCCACAGGTACCAAAATCTAACTACTGATAAGTCTAAAAAATACAGGCACTTGAACTAGGCCTGTCGCGATAAACAATAAACCAATTAATCACATGATAAATGAAAATTATCAACCTCATTTTCATTTATCGACTTTATTGTTTCTTCGTGTCTCTCTCTTTCTACTGAAGACACTGGATGACAAAAGGCTCAACTCTGGTGCTCTTCACTGACCCCTCCCTTTTTCTTTTCTCTTTAAAATCCATTTTAATGAACCAAAATCACATTTTTGGATTGTTAAAAGCAGCTAAGCTGAGAAGCTAAGTTGAGAAGCTAAGCTAAGCTAACAGGCCGACCTTGGGGAAAATACCTCCGTCTTGCCGAAGCTCCAAAATTCACGGTTGAAACCCGTGCCTTTGTGTAATAAAGTTTTTCCTCTGCAAAAAGAAGCTGAGAACTTGTTTATAGATTATTTTTTTTTATTAAAAGCTTTGTGTGAAAAATGCTAAAAAGCTCAAACCACACCGAGCGTCTGCCATTTTGAGAACCGAAAAAAGGGAAAGAGAGACTGCCCATGTCACATCAAGGGGCCTCCCTCCCATTTTTCTTAGAGACGCTGCTCACTCCCTCACTATCCATCTTTCAGTTCAGTCTTATACTGCCATCAGGTGGTCAAAAAAATGTACTACACTCAAAATAAATTAATCAACATTTCTTTTTAAATTTGACAACTACTAATTATTGTCAAATTTCAATGTTATCGTTTATCGCAATAATTTCTGAGACAATTAATCGCCCAGCAAAATATGTTGTTGTGACATGCCTAACTTGAACACTGTTTGTAATTTTTTTTTTAAATCTATGCTGCTTCTGGTTTTAAAACTGCTGTTACCATCTTTATAGAGCACAGCGACGAGCGAACATGTTCCTCTTATTTGGCTCATCTCCTGGTCGGCTGGACACAAACGAGTTGAAATGATGTATTTGTTTCCAGGAGAATCGTCTCAGTGACGTTTCCAATCAGAGCCACGACTCCCAGGCTTCAAACAGCACCCTGTCAGCCACGTCCCATGAAGACAGAAAAAATCTGGCTGTTACCTCACAGAGAGAAGCTTTTGTGGATCGCCAGTCCCCTCAGGAGGAGGAAGACTTGGATGAGATGGAGGTGGAGTACATTGAGGTAAAATACTAGCATTAGTAAAAGTCAGCTACAGCTAGTCTCCAAGTAAAACTCTTAACTGAATCCCTTTTGTCCAGCCAACTGTGCACTTTGCAGAAGAACCCATCATCCGTGAAGGGGATGATGATGACAGGGAGAACGGCGAGAGGAGTGATGAGGAAGATGAGAGCCCAGCTGTTCCAATGGAGAAGCAGCGGCTGATCAGAAAGGACACGCCACACTACAAGAAGCACTTCAAAATCACCAAGCTGCCCAAACCTGAAGCTGTGGCTGCACTGCTGCAGGGCTTCAGTCCCGAGGGGCTTAACTCTGCAACACAGGCTGAAGACGAGGAGGAGGAGGAAGAGGAGGAGGAGGAGGAGGAGGAGAGTGTTTGTACCCCTCAGCACCATCATAGAATAGAAGAACTGGAGGACATCCAGAATCAGGGAAACTCCAGTCAAGTAAAGGTGAAGCAGATTCAGACTCTGACAGGATGTAGTCTGGGATATAACAAGAAAAACAACATTATTTGACACACAGCAGAAAATTAAATCATAGTTACATTATACATGGAAGTATTTTCTTCTCTTTGGCAGCACTTCATACTGTTTTACCATCCTGACCACCTGCATTATGCTTTTGAGTGATCTGCTGTTAATTAAGACCAGATGTTGAGTGCAGAGCCATAAGCAATGATTGAAGGGGATCACTTTTCACAAGTTGATATCTTAAGCACAAGTCTGCCAACTTCATCCCAAACACAAACACAAGACTAGCTCACATCTGACACTAACAGTAGATAATCTTCTCACATGTGAAAGATCAGCTAAAGAGCTTTTTCAGGACTGCACTTTGCCCACATGCAAGTAACATAGAGATTGACGAACTATCCCTTTTTTTTCACAACACTGGTTCAGTTAAGAACTAAACCTCCTGCCATTACCCGCTGATTTAATCAAATAAAGATAATTCCACACGCTGCTTTTATAACACTGTGAGCAACACGCCAGTTTGTATGAATGATGTGAGTGAAGTCTGCTCATGTTAATGGTGGTTTTAGTATTTGACGGATGAATGAGATCTGTTTATTTTTACCGTTAAAAAAAAATTTTAACACAACGATCAGCTCACCAAATTTGTTTTATGTTTATTTCTATGAGAACTGATCTGTTTGTGTGGCTGAACTCAGACCAGCCACAGCATGTACTGGCAGAGCTGGAATGTGAGATTCAATAAGCCATATTTGTATCATATAGAGATAATAACTTTGTGACTGTTAAGGTCAAATTAGCCTTTTTGTGAACGACCCTTCAGGTGTCAACCAGTGATGCGGTTCCTGAGCTTTTTAACTTTCAACCCACAAAATAAAATGAGAAGAGACTCAGCTATTGCTGGTTGAAGTATAAAAAACATACTAATAAGCCATTTAACAAAAAGTCCCATCAAGTATTATGTTGTTTTTCATCCCTGGATGCGGAGTGAAGAGGGGGAATTGGAAGTACCATTCATCCGTCCTTGTGAGCATGGTAACTTGGGAAAATATAGTTTTTATATTGCTTAAAAGTATAGTTTTCTCAAATGATTAAGGGGGTCGGTGAGGTGGCTGAAGATTAATCTATGGTGGCCAAGACCCACCTGTTCAAGTGGGCCATCTATGGTAACCCACTTGAGTATTTTGCACTACAAACATAAATGTTTTCCTACATTCTCTGTTCTATTGCAGTCCAGAAAAATACTTATCTGAAAAACCACAAACCTTCACTTTTTAATTCCCTCAGCAACAGGGGACATGAGCGCGCTACTCGTTATTAATTCAAGCTAAATATTATACTTTTTTTCACCTTTTACTTTAATTTGATTCACTGTAGACCTTAGTTCTCAATACTACATACATACCATTGGGCTCCTGGCTCCAACTTTGGGAGCCACTGATGTGTGGATAAGTTTATACCAACGTTAGAGCAGGATACCTCACATTAAATGTCACATGATACATTTCCAGCAATACAGTAGTCCCTCGTTTTTCGCGGGGGATCCGCACCCTGAAGCCTCGCGATAAGTGAAAAACAGCTAAGTAGGACAAGTACTGGTAGTAAATAGTAGTTTATCATAGTATATGTATGTATGTATATATATATATATATATATATATATATATATAAAACCGCGAAGTAGCGAGGGACTACTGTACTGGTAATTTAATTATTCTAATTTATCTATTTTGATATAGAAAATCCAAATAACTGCTGGATAATCTATTAGTATAGCTACACAATGTAAATCTTGTTGTAGCAACTTTTCCACTGCTGTCATCTCGCTGGTAAAGGACACCTAATGTAGTGATGCTGAGGGCAAGGACATTAAGTTTAGTGCACTTTAATTTTATAATTACATTTCTAATATTTGAAACCACTAACAAATTAATTCCTGCGTCAAACAAAGAGGCGTATTGAATTTTTTTTTTCCCCCTCCACTCCAAGGTTGCTCTGGCCTGTATCATCCTAACAAACCTACTATAGATCTGCTAGGGTTTTCTACAGGAGGGAGTTTCTTTTAATGGTTTAGAGGCTGGGCTTGTTCTGGTTTGGGAGCTTTTGCTATCTTTTGTTTGCTCTGACTGCACACTTGTGTATTTTTTTGCACCCTGGCTCAGATCATTGGTCTCGTCTTTCCATCTCTGCCTGTATTTGCTTTTGGTGGCTGGGGAGCGAGTGTGGAGTCACGTCTGCTTCAAGGTGGTCGCTGCAAGCAGATAGTGATGAGTGGTTGAAGTAAACGGAGAGTGTGAAGATCTTTTTTTTTCATGCGAGTGTGAATGAGCGCGTATTTAATTTTGGCCTGACTAATCCGCATGCTTCTCGCTGGTTCCTGTCCTAACAGGGGGTGTCATTTGATCAAGTCAATAATCTGCTGATTGAACCTGCTCGAATTGAGGAGGAAGAGGTCTGTACCTACGCTTTCCCATCCAGCGTGTCTTTCTCTCGCTCACTCACCCTCTCTCTCTATCACAGGTTTAAGAAGTAGAGAAAACACACACAAATATACACTTAATCTTAATCTAAGCCAGTCAGAAAGAAGGCCCCTAACAGAGCTCTGTTACTGGAGTGTCAGTGTGGCAGGACCTGGATGCAGGACTCAGTGTTACATGTGGTTTTGGTGAACTACCAGAGTGCTCTTGCATCATGTACCGGTAACTGCATCATATGGGTCTAATGCAGCGTGATTTCATACTGCTACCTGTGTTTCTTAATTTAATTGTTTCTAATAGCCTTTTAAGAAATACTCCCACCAACTATTTTATAAGATACATCTGTTCAGTTGCTTATTAACACAAGTATCTAATCAGAGATGGTTGTACAAGAAAATCCCAGTAGATCAAGAGTTTCTGAAATACTCACACCAGCCCATCCAGCACCAAAAACCACACCAGGTTCACTTAGATCTCCGTTCCTTCCCATTCTGATGCTCATTTTGAAGTTCAGCAAGTCGCTTGAGTTCCTGCCATGTAGATTGACTGTTTGTTGCAACATGCGATTGAACAGGTGTACCAGTGAAAGTGGCTGAGGAGTGTAGATTTAACACATTCATGTTTGTCAATGGCTGAATTTTACTCAGCTTTACATATTTAAGTCTCAGTCCAGCAACAGGTTCTGTCACACTACACCTCCATATTTTCTCTAAACCTGCTGCTTCGCTCGCTGTTACACTATTCCTTGTATTCCTGGAATAAATGGTGTGTTTGTGCTGTGGTGACTCAATTTCACCAACTTCCTACAACGTCCTTCATACACTATATGAACAGAAGTATTTGGCCACACCTGACCATCACACCAGTTTGGGGTGCATGAAGTTGGTCCTACTTTTGCAGCTAGAACACCTTCCACTCTTCTCAGAAGGCTTGCTACAAGATGCTGGAGGGATTCTGTGGAGATTTGTGCCCATTCAATCTGTAGAACATCTATGAGGAGAAGCATTGAACAAGGAGCTCTCCGTTCCAGTTCATTCCAAAGATGATCGATTAGTTTGAGGTCAACTCTCTGTGTAGTCATGCTCTTCCACAACAAACTCATCAAACCATGTCTGTATAGTCCCTGCTGTGATCATGGAAGAACAATATAAAATGGCTGTAACCAAAGTGTTGCCACAAAGTTGGAAACAAAAATGTTTTGGTATGTTGAAGCACTTGACCGTCACTGGAGTCCGAGACTGAAACACTCGAAATCAACAATTAACAGGTTGGCCAAAAACATCTGGCCATATAGTGTATACACACACCAGAAAAAGAGTTTTATGTGAATTATGTATTTTTTAACGTTTAAACTTTAGGCTTCTATATCAACTTTGAACTTTAAAATACAAGAAAAAGCATGTTTGATATTTGCTCGGCTGTATTTTCTATCAGTTTCTTGTAGGGCTGGACGATATGGCCTAAACTTTTATCACGATATAATTCCGATATCGATACAAACAATATAAAAGCCTCAGAAAGTGTACAAACTGTACAGATAAATTAACCTTCACTTTTTATTTGTATTTAACCTTCAAAGAAATTTGAAATCATCGTCAAATAAACATAAAACTCTCAACTTTGTCAATATTAATATTTTTAGCTTTAAACAACAACATAATCTAACATACTCTTTCAGGGACATGTTGGCTCAACCTTCATTGTGCTTCATCTTCTGATTCTATCGAGTGGAACAAGTTAGATGTGTTCCCACCACTAGTTGGAACGACTCTCCGTCACTTTTGCAGCACACTGAAACCTGCAGTTTATCGGATCTTAGAAAGCCGAATCATTTCCACACCGCCAAATCAGTCTTTCCTCTCTTATCACTTATGTCATCTGCTTTCTCTTCGCTTGTCAAAGCTTGTTCAGTCACATTCTGATGGTCATGGGCACTCACGTGTTGGAGCTTAGCCTAGCCTGCTACCGCTGACTCCTTGGAGCTGTGGTGTACGTCACCACGCGCTCACGTCGTCGTGTCGCGGCTTTTTCTGTTCGGGTTGAAACTGAAGCGGCCGCTTCAACCAGAACAGAATAAGAAATGCATCAATGAAACGCTGTAATCGTATCGTAATGTCAAAATATCGAAAATGTGCTTAAAATTCATATCACCGTTATTGAATAAAAATGTATCGTGATATATATTGATATCGAATTATTGTCCAGCCCTAGTTTCTTGTGTAATTCCTTTACAAGTACTTTTTACATTATATCATCTTTTTTTTATCATTTCAACATTCAAGATAAAATACATTTTACCCCCTTTTTTTTTTGTAAGACCATTAACTTGATGAACAATTTAGTTTCATTATAAATTATCTGAAGGCTTGACTGCATGACAAACTGATTTCCACATGCATGAACGTCCAACGTCTCTTTACGCATCTTTTTCCCATCGTCTCCATTCATCTTTTTTTTTATCTGAATGGTTTACAAATGGACAGAGAACACAACTTGTTGGGCATTAATGTTCCATTTTCTAGTTTTTTTTTTTTTCCCAAATACCTTCTGAATTTGTATTCAGGAGTTATTGTTTAATTCAGCTGCAGAACTTCTCATGTTTTATATTTTTATTTAAATAGCTGCTTACAGGTTATTCATGCGCATCAGCTTTTATTTCCTGCTTTGAACAAGCTTTAAAATGTTCAGCATTTATGTTTTGCTGCAATTAAAAGATGCAGCACTGACTGACACCACCAGACAGAGGGAGGTTATTTAGAACCAAAAGCACTGAGTCCAACAATGACTAGATTTTTTTTTAAGTTTATGAAACAAATAGTTTTATTGTAATCTCATCCCCTCCTGAATCTGCTCTAGATCAGTTCTGTTGTGAAGCTTCACTGCTTGTGTTTGACTCCGTCCTGTCCAACTTGCAGCACTCATTGATCATTGTCCGACAAACGGGTGGTCTGGGCATCAGCATCGCTGGAGGAAAAGGATCTACGCCTTACAAAGGAGATGACGAGGTGAGACAAGTTCCCGGAGTTTGTTCAACTTAGTGCGAGGCAAACAGATTTTAAATGTTCTCTTTGTGTTTTAAGGGAATCTTTATCTCCAGAGTATCTGAAAATGGTCCTGCAGCAAGAGCAGGGGTGAAAGTTGGAGATAAGCTTCTAGAGGTAAAGATCCTTTTGAGAATGCTTGCAAGGGTTAACATAAATTGATATTTTCTCTAAAAAATATCTAAAAACATAAAGAGACTGAATTTTACAATAGTGATTTTTCTAAAGAATACCAGAAGTCGAACCTGTCTTTCACAGGTAAATGGTGTAGACCTTCATGAAGCTGAGCATCACACAGCGGTGGAAGCTCTGCGTAGCTCCGGTGCTACAGTTTCCATGACTGTACTGAGGGAGCGCATGGTGGAGCCAGAGAATGCCATCACCACCACACCGCTCAGGCCCGAGGACGACTACTTCCCACGGGAGAGGCGGAGCAGCGGCCTTGCCTTCAACTTGGAGACCAGTCCCAGCGGACCCAGGCAGCGATTCTCCACCTGTCTGATCCGCAACGACAAGGGCCTGGGATTCAGCATTGCAGGGGGCAAAGGCTCTACACCTTACCGTACAGGAGACACGGTAACAAAACAAACAAAAAAAAACATTAACAACTTCTGACAATGTGTCTGTGAAATAATAATTTTAAATATATAAATATAAGACTTAATGGCAGGTTATAAATACTTCTGAGTGACATTAAAATATGTGAGGTAAGTAGGAATATCTAGGACACATGTCTCAAACTCAAGGCCCGGGGGCCAAATGTGGCCCTCGTTGACATCTTATCTGGCCCCAAGATGGTATTTTAAATGTAAAATACTTTTGTCACTTTAAATTTTTTTCAATAATCTTTGATTATGATGTGTAGTGCAACCGAGAATGTATGAGACAAATCAAACTCTTGTCAAGGAACCTGCAACCAAGAAGAGATGTTGGTATCCAACTTGAGTTGATGTAGATTCTGAAACTGTCCCTTAGTTTGAATTTTTTTTTATTTTGGCCATCTTTTGTAAGTGAGTTTGACACCCCTGATGGGAAGTCCAATAATGTAGGACTGATGGTGGCAACTCTAAATGTGTGGTCATTGACATGTAAAAGTAGAGAGCTGGCTGACATGATGCAGAGAAGGAAGGTAGATGTTTTATTTGTCCACGACACCAAGTGGACAGCAAGGCTTGCAGCATTGGAGCAGGGTTTAAATTGTTTTACCATAGTGTGGATAGAAAGAGAAATGGAGTAGCTGTCATTTTTAAGAACAAGGGTGATGTACAGAGTCGTAGCAGCTACAGGGGAATGAAGTTGATGAGCCAAACAATGAAGATCTGGGAGAGTTGCGGAACTAGACTTAGACAAGAGGTGACTATTTGTGAGCAGCAGTATGGTTTCATGCCAAGAAAGAGCACCACAGATGCCATCTTTGCTTTGCTTGATTCTTGATGATGAAGTACAGAGAGGGTCAGAAAGAACGCCATTGTGTCTTTATGGATTTAGAAAAATCTGTTCTGTTGACGAGGCAGGGGACCCCACTTGTATAATGGGAGAGGAAACAATGATGTGTATGGATGAGAGGGAGGCCAGTGGAACAGTGAGGCTACAAGGAGCAGAGGTCACAAAGGTGCAGGACTTCAAGTACTTGGGGTCCACTGTCCAGGAAAATGGGGAGTGTGACAAAGATGAAGAAGAGAGTCCAGGCAGGAAGGAGTGGATGGAGAAAAGTTTCAGCAGTGATTTATGAAAAAAGGGTGTCAGCAAAGGTCAAAGGAAAAGTTTACAAGACAGTGGTGAGACCAGCTATGTTGTCTGGTCTGGAGACAGAGACCTGGACAAAAAGACAGGAGAAATAACTGGAAGTGGCAGAAATGAAGATGTTGAGGTTCTCCTTAGGAGTGACAAGGATGGATAAGATTAGGAATGAGTTCATCAGAGGTACAGCACAGATTGAACAACTGGGAGATAAAGTTAGAGAGACCAGACTGAGATGGTTTGGACATGTCCAGAGGAGGGACAGTGGGTATACTGGTAGAAGGATGTTAGAAATGCAGCTGCCAGGAAAAAGACAGAGGAGATGAATGGATGCAGTTAGAGAGGACATGGAGGTAGTTGGAGTGAGGACAGAGTGAGATGGAGGAGGATGACTCGCTGTGGCGACCCCTGAAGAGGGAAAAGCCCAAAGAAGAAGATTCATCTGGATCACCTCAAAAAGAAAGATGGTTCTGACAAGACGTTGACATCTGTAGACACAGTCATACTGGAAATTAAACATCCTCTTGTTGGGCCAGTGACAGGAGTGGTATCGGAAGTTGAGAGGTTAAGTCACAACGTGTCTGCTGTAACTGTCTGAGTGAAAGATCAGTCTTTTAGTGTTGCATATTCTTGCTACAGCGTTTCCAGTCATCACCAGGGCGACAGAGATATGAATAGCCAGTCTTGAAACCTGATAGATCCTCTGTAATTGGACATGGTTGAATGGTGAGGTGTATGCTTGGACCAGTACAGCCCTGCCCTGCATCTCATACAGCTCAACGAGCTTACAAAAAGGAAAGGACTTATGAACACCCCATTTAGGCTGGTTGCCTGTAAGTCTTGCTCCTCTTTCAGAAGATTTTTAATGGATGCTGTTACTTTTGTCTTATTGTTTGATAATGTGAAGTTGTGATGCAGCCGACTGATCCTGCATGTGTTCACATATTCTGCTTACATGGAACAGCAAAGCTTAGCATGGCTTTATTTTCTTGATCAAAGCGTTTTAAGTTTTCTGAGAGATCATATCTCTGAGGGTGCTTAAACAAATGTTTCTTTTAATGACAGAGTATTTTACTTTATTTTTTTTAATTAGGTGCAGTTGTGGTCACAATTCTTTTCATTCATTCAACCTTTATTTATACAAGTTAATCCCACTGAGCCTCGGGGACTCATTTACAAGAGAGACTTACAGTTTAAACTTAAAGTTTACAGTGTGATCTAAAATTATAACCTAGTCAGACTCACTGTGATCAAACTGGTTAATCCTAGTTCCAAACTTCACATTTTACCAACACGAATGCTGAGCTAGGCCTGTCACAGTAAACAATAAATCAATTAATCGCACGATGAATGAAAATTATCGACCCCATTTTCATTTATCAGCTTTATCTTTGTGTCTCTCTTTCTATTGAAGACACTGGATGACAAAAGGCTCAACTCCGGTGCTCTTCACTGACCCCTCCCTTTCTCTTTTCTCTTTAAAATCTATTTTAATTGTCCAAAATCGTGTTTTTGGATCGTTAAAAGCAGCTAAGCTGAGAAGCTAAGCTACAAGCTAAGCTAACAGGCCGACCTCGGGGGGAGGAAAACCTCTGTCTTGTTGAAGCTCCAAAATTCACGGTTAAAACCCGTGCCTTCGTCTAAAAAGTTGTTTTTCTCTGCAAAAAGAGGCTGAGAACTTGTTTACTGATTTTTTTAAATTAAAAGCGTTGTGTGAAAAATGCTATGCTAAAGCGCTCAAACCACACCAAACGTCTGCCATTTTGAGAAACAAAAAAAGGAAGGAGAGAAAGCCCATGTGGCGTCAAAGGGACCTTCCTCCCATTTTTCTTAAAGAGACACGCTGCTCACTCCCTCACTATCCATCCTTCAGGTCAAACAGTCTTATACTTCCATCGAGTGGTCAAAAGAAGTGCTACACTCAAAACAAATTAACCAACATTCCTTCTTAAATTTGACAATAATTATTAATTATTGTCAAATTTCAAACGATATTATCGTTTATCGCAATATCAATCAACCTTTATTTATACAGGTAAATCCCATTGAGCCTTGAGGACTCATTTACAAGAGAGACCTGATTTCAACATGTGTACATGTACAATAATTTCTAAGACAATCGCCCAGCAAAATGTGTTATCATGACAGGCCTATGCTGACCTGTGACAGATTATATTGGAAGGATTTCTGGTGTGCTATAAGTAAGGTGTTATTAGGTGCAGCACATTCACAGATTATCTGTATTTTTCTTTGTTTCAAAGCTGATAACCCTCTTAAACCAAATCTTGGCTAAAGTTACTTGCAGAAATATTTGTGTAAACTTGTCTCGTGTTTGTTTTCAGGGAATCTACATCTCTCGGATTGCAGAGGGTGGAGCAGCGCACAGAGACAGCACACTGTGTGTCGGAGACAGGGTGATTTCTGTGAGTACCATCGTTCTTCTCCATCTGGCTGTTCAGTTTGTTCACTACAGACTTTCCTTTACAAACAGACTTCTTTAAAATATAATTCCTGTCGGTCCTGTAATCAACAAGTTTGTTGTTGGAATATAATTCATACTTACAGTCAGCTTGTACGAACAAAATACAGAATATTTCTAATCTGGGAATCATAAACAAAATTAGTCCTGATGCATGCTCAATAATCCAGGTAGATAAATCTAACAAGGTTGAGTCGGATCCTCTGGACGGATTCTTCTTTCCAGAGGACCTGACTTGAAAAGTGTTGTCGTTTATCCGAAAGACTTCTTCAGTCATGACTGGACAAATATTACATCCAGAGGACCTGACTCAACTTTGTTAAATAAATAAAATTAGTTCTTGTTAAAAGTGTTGGTGTCCATTTATAGTTGTGCCATAAACACTGCTGTCATCACTCACATTGCCATAATTAAGATTAAAATCAGACATCTCGTTCCTAAATTCATGTAGAAGAAAACTAATCGCACAAAGTTTCAATCAGATGTTTTATTTGTTTAGATTTCACAGCTTGGGGGTTTTCTGCATGATGTTTTTTGTTTTTTCATTCCTTCTGCCTATCACATGTCAAGCCTTGCCTCGTTTTTCTCTACCTCACTCCTCGTCAGTAGCAGTCCTGCTTTTATAATCGTATGGACGATACGTTTGTTTCAAAGTTTGTCCGGCTGCCTAGAATCCTTTTTGCTTCCTCTCTGGGTTTCTTCTTCTCTCTTCCTCTGGCAGTTTTCTTCTTTCTGTTCTTACACTCTATCCTTCTGCATGCTCACTTGTGCATTGAGTGTGCCTCCCTGCCTGCTTGGTGGTGGGTTTGGTGTTGGCTGAGCCTGCTGATGTGGTAAATGGCCTTCACCACATCAGCAGCAGCTGTGGCAGCATTACAGCCTGCGGTAAGAGCTGGTACTGTCGGGTCAGTGCTGACCTCTGCTTGTCAACATTAAGCAGTGTAGTATATAGGACAGAGCTGAAAACTCCTTGTATTAATCTGTAGATATAATTACACACACTGATTACTTACTAAGATGGTATCACCACTCTGCTTTGGTTGCCTTTGTTGACTGTAGACCAAACGTTTTAGAGGGACCACGCACCTCCACTTGTGTTTTAGGTAAACAAAGGCAAGAAAATGTAAGAAAGTGTTGAGGGGTAAATGGAAAGATAGCAGCATGAGTATTTGAGGTCACAGAGAGTTTGATTGACAGTATTTTGCTTTCTTGCTGCTTTTCTCTCTGAATTTCTGCCAGCTTAACCTGCCTGCAGTATCCTGCTGTTACAGCACTCTTGCTTTTCCACTGAAGATCCTGTAGCTAGGCCTGTCGCGATAAACAATAAATCAATTAATCGCATGATAAATGAAAATGATCTACCTCATTTTCATTTATCAGCTTTATCGTTTCTTCGTGTCTCTTTCTACTGAAGACACTGGATGACGAAAGACTCAATTCCGATGCTCTTCACTGACCCCTCCCTTTCTCTTTTCTCTTTAAAATCTGTTTTAACCATCCAAAATTGTGTTTTTGGATTGCTAAAAGCAGCTAAGCTGAGAAGCTAAGCTATAAGCTAAGCTAACAGGCCAACCTCAGGGAAAAAACCTCCGTCTTGTCAAAGCTCCAAAATTCACGGTTGAAACCCATGCTTTTGTCTAAAAAGTTGTTTACTGATTTATTATTAAAAGCTTTGTGTGAAAAATGCTATGCTAAAGAGCTCAAACCACACCAAGCGTCCGCCATTTTGAGAACCAAAAAAGGAAGGAGAGACAGCCCATGTCACATCAAGGGGCCTCCCTCCCATTTTCCTTAAATAGACACACTGCTCGCTCCCTCACTATCCATCCTTCGGTTCAAGCAGTCTTATACTGCCATCCAGTGGTCAAAAAAGGTACTACACACTAAATTAACCAACCTTTTTTTTTTCATTTGACAATAATTACTAATTATTGTCAAATTTCAAACAATATTATCGTTTATCGCAGTAATTTCTGAGATAATTAATCACCCAGCAAAATTTATCGTGACAGGACTAGTATATTGTGATATACATCGATATCGAATTATTGTCCAGCCCTTGGTTTTTTACTAAGTGGCTTTTAGTTTTGAGTGATGAGATACAGAATCTGGTGATGGCATGCCATTTCCACCCTGCTTTTATTCTAAAGAAATGTGGGGGCTTCTTGGTGGGCTCACACCCTCCGTGGTTGGTTTTACTGTTGATCCAGATCAATGGTGTAGACATGACAGAGGCCAGGCATGACCAGGCAGTAGCGCTCCTTACTGGCACCTCCCCCACCATCTCACTGCTGGTGGAGCGAGACCCGAGTGGAAGTTCTCCGGGCCAGAACAGGAGACGTGCCCACTCTCCTCCACCGCCAGAACCCTCAGATTCTCCAGACCAGGAGGAGGACGACCTTCAAGAGAACCACCTGGGGAAAATGGAGGATGAATATCCCATCGAGGTGAGGACTTCGCCATTTCATAATGTGGAATAGCTTTTCTAGATGTTTCAGTGGCGTGTGCAGCAGAAACTCTATTGAAGCCTATTTGTTTTGGCTTCTGCTTTATTCCTGATGCTGTCCAGTTCCAAAGACGATTGTGCATGGTACGAAGGCTTGATGTGCCTGAGAGTGAACTGTAGCCTTTAGCCTGCTGAGATGCTGTGTGTAGTAGAAGCTCATGAGTTTACATTTTACAGTAAAGGAGTTGTGATTCATTCTGTTTCCAAACAGGAGGTGACCCTGGTGAAATCAGGTGGGCCTCTTGGACTGAGCATCGTTGGAGGTAGTGACCACGCCAGTCATCCTTTTGGCATCAGTGAGCCCGGGGTGTTCATCTCAAAGGTACCGGGCACAAAAGAGCTGCCTGTTTATTTTTCCCAAATCCTGAAAAGAAAAACTCACGGCCGTGCATCGTTTCTTCAGGTGATTCCTCACGGTCTGGCGTGTCAAAGCGGCCTGCGTGTTGGAGATAGAATATTAGAGGTGAACTCCACCGACCTGCGACACGCCACTCACCAGGAAGCCGTACGTGCCTTGCTAGCCAACAAGCAGGAGATATGCATGTTGGTACGAAGGGACCCCTCACCACCTGGAATGCAGGAAGTTTTGATCCAAAAGCAGCCGGGCGAGAAGCTTGGCATCAGCATCCGTGGAGGGGCCAAAGGTCATGCTGGAAATCCCTTCGACCCCACGGATGAAGGCATCTTCATCTCTAAGGTTCTTAAACTGATTGAAGCTCAACATGGTTTAATATTTAGAAACATTAGAAACGTAAACGTACTGCGTTTTGGCTGCTGCTTTCTTCAGGTGAGTTCGACAGGAGCGGCAGCACGAGACGGAAGACTGCAGGTTGGCATGCGCATTCTAGAGGTGAACAACCACAGCCTCCTGGGAATGACTCACACAGAGGCGGTGCGAGTTCTCCGTGCCGTCGGAGACTCTCTGGTCTTGCTGGTGTGTGACGGCTTCGACCCAGGAAAAGTTGCAACTGTGGAGGTGAGACACTTCCAGCTGTCAGGTAACAACAAAATATGTCTTTGACAGCCACATTAAAACAAATTGGATTGGAGAATTATTTTTGATGGTGCCAAGAAATATTTAAATTATTTCAGATTAGTCACAATGTGAATAGTTTTTATTTAAAAATTGACTGTGGGGTTGATACAGACATGAACACAACAATTTTAATTTAAAAAAAGCTCATTTAGATTTGATGTCAACAGCAGCAGGATGTGTTTGTGCACGTATGAACGATAACTTGATTAAACATGAAGGCACCATTGTTGATGGAATGTCGGTCCAAATCCTGAACTTAAGGAATGTTTTAGGATTAAAACCCAAAATGCAAGGTTTATAGCAATATTTTTATGCTTTTGTTTCAATGTAGGGTTTAAATTATTTTAGATAATTACACTGTGTTTAATTTATGCTGATTCAGCTTCTTTAGAAATGGTGTTCTATAGTAGTCTCTCGTTTCGTTTATTGCGGGGGTTACGTTCCAACCCCCCCCCCCCCCCCCGGCCGCACATTAAGTGAAAATCCGCAAAGTAGAGACATTATATTTATTTTAGTATTTATATATATTTTAAGGCTTTATAAACCCTTCCCACAGTCTTGCAATGTTTTAAACTCTTAAACCTACGTCATTTTAACAATATACGTGCAGTACTGTATATTTTACTTACCAGCCAGAACAGCAGCTGCTCGGCTCCGGTCCGTCTCTGTTTCTGCAGACCTGCCCTGCAGTGACGAAGCCCACAAAGAGTGTTCTAAACTCTTAAACATACTAGTTTTAACAACATACGTATATGTTGCTACTAAATTTTACTTAACAGCTCTGCAGAACAGCAGTGGCTCTCGGTTCTGCTCCGACCCAAGAGATGAAAAAAAGTCTGTGAGCTCGGGATGTAGCGACAGACCTTCAGCAGCGTGCGTCCCGCTCTGAAGTCCTCGTAGGCTGACTGCCAGCTCTCAAGATTCACCGATAGGTCTGGAGATTTGGTTCTGCTTCTGTTCTGGTCCGGTTCTGGTCCGGTTCGGTGGGTTCCTTGTGGCTCACTGCATCCGCTGGGCTTCGAAGTCTCTGTAATAAGCGCCAAAATTTCGGATCAGATTAAAACTTTCCGTGTAGTATTTCAAGCAGAATGCAACAGGGCGTCTGGGCGGAGCATTGCTGGCTTCTGGGAAATGTAGTCCTTATGAACGGCGATACCGTGTAGGTTTATTGTTAAAAAAAACTACAAAATGGCGGCACCTGTCCAAAGTATTTTATTTTTCGTTAACTTTTTACAGTACAGTATCCCGTATTGTCCCAATCACGTGAGTAATATTAAAGTTGACAATCGTGTCGTGTACAATTTTTTTTCCTCGTTTACAATCTTACTTTGAAAAACCGCAAAAGAGCGAGTCCGCGAAAGTCGAACCGCGAAGTGGCGAGGGACTACTGTACGAAGTTTTCATCTTTTTAAATATTTTTTTAAAATATGTTTTTTCAGGCATCTCCTGGGATTATCGCTAATCCTTTTGTGACGGGCATTGTTCGTAAGAACAGCATGGAGAGCATTTCTTCTATAGACCGAGACCTGAGTCCAGAGGAGATGGACATAATACAGAAGGTACAATCCAAGTCCCACTGTTACCAGTCAACTTGTAGTCAGACCTTGACACTGACTCGCTGTAAAAGCTCCTATATTAGTGGCTTGAAAAGTTTTGTTTTGACCGTCAGGGGCTGTTGTAAAACTTGGCATCATGTAAGCTGAGCCCTGCTGCATTCACATCAACACAAGTCAAATGTTTTGTTCAGCGATTCTGCTGCAGCAGCACTTTGGTGTTTGCAGGTGGAATTTCAGCAGCACTCGTTTCACCCGTTCGGTCATACACACCACATTTACTCAGCGTCTGCCTGAGCGGCCGCTGTACATCAGCACTGTTTGTTTTTTAGTTTTAGCTTCTGCCCGAGTTGAAGGACTGCGATGGTCTGTTTATCAAATGTTGTGCTTCTGTCTCTGCTCTGCAAACATTTCGACCCACAAATTATGTGTAATGACTACCTTTTAAATACAAATGTGGAAATATTTCTGCTGAGGTTTATGGAAAGGAGTTTATAAGTGTTGCTTTTCCCCAGGAGTCTGAGATGGTGAGAGAAACGTCACAGTGGGAAAGAGAAGAGATGGAGAAAGTGGTAAGTGAAACTAAAAACCTGTTTAAGTTGTGGTAAGGAAAAGGGGTAAAATTATCTGTTCTTAGCAGCAGTGGAAATAAAGATGGCAAAAAAAAAAAATGAATGAATGAAGTTTCTCCTCTGCACCCTGTGTGAGTTTTGTGTTGGACAGAACTGTTCCTGCAGTGTCTCACCTCGCATGCTGTTTCTGCTCTTATAGAAACATAAATAGTGTACTTTCTAATGTGTGTGAATTCTATCCTTTCCCATATTTTTTTTCTCTCTCACCTGTCCTTTTGGTGTGTTTGGTGTGATGCGTAATCATCCAATCATCCCACTTCCTCCTTCGCTATCATCCTTTCATCTCTTTCCATCCCCTCATTGCACTACTGTGTGACTGTGTGTGGTTGTGCATTTCCCCCTCTGCACTCTCCTCCTCTACTTCCTCTCATGGTGAAGGAGCGCATGCGTTTGGAGCGTGAGGAGGCAACTCGCCTGCTAGAAGAGGAGACGGAGGTGAGACACTCCTTAGGGACAGATAAGACAAACCTTCTGTCCGTGCAAAAGCTTAGTTTAGCCACAAACTTTATTTTTTGTTTGGATGAACTGGGTCTTATTCAGACTGATTATATTTTACTGAAGAAGGTGCTCTGTGGCAAAAGCAGCTGGACTGAACAAAATGTGGGTTTTTCTTGGCACCAGCTGTTTTCTAGTAAAAAAGTGGAGAAAAAGAGTATCAACTCCAGATTTATTATCTTATTTTCTCAGAGTGCTTTGCCTTGATTTGCAGCTGCTCAAAGTGCTTCTGAAGCATCACTGCACTTTTTTAAAGTAACCGGTCAAATTGATATAAATAATAATCACCCCAGCGGTGAGTTAGTTAATTCATGTCAGACCTAAATGACCACAATGAAGGAACTAAGAGGATGGTTTGGATCACAAAAAGTTATGAGTATCTTACCTGTTGTAGATAGTTGTGACTGGGCTGACTGGCTTGTCTAAGTGGGATCAAGATCAAAGTTGTTTTAAAATAACTCCACACTCAGATGTTTTACAGAAGTCCATGCAAATTCTTTTTTTATAAACCTTTACAACACATTTAGTTTTACAATACATGGTTATTTATGTAGATGGACTTGCGACCCGTCCAGGGTGTACCCCGCCCCTCGCACAGTGATTGCTGGACATGGGCACCAGCGACCCCCGTAACCCAAAATGGAATAAGCGGGTAAAGATAATGGATGGATGGATGGGTTATTTATGTAAAATTTTGTAGTTATTTGTAAGTGTAGATATCAACTTCTACTGAAGCCTAGTGCAGGAATATCTTATTTATGGCAGAATAACTGTAATACAAACTTAGATGTTTATAAATTAGCATTTGTATCAACTGCTATAAAAGTTTTGGAGTTGTTTTGAGATGGCAGCAATACACTTTGGTTTTTGCTTCACTTGAATTAGCCATTAGCTTGTCAGTCTGCTTAGAATTAAACTGTATGTCCCTAAAGTGAGGCTTTTCAAAAAGCTTTCTACAACAGGTAAGATATTAATTGTTCATAGCTCGTCCACAAAAAACAAACAACAAAAAAAACACTTTAAAAGATTTGAACTATCACTTTCGGAATCATATGTTCATAATGTTTTTGGGCAGCTGCAAAGTAAAGTCTTTTGTTTTTCTAATATATCATTACGGTTAATTCTAAATGAAGTCTGAAGTATTTAAACCAAACCCCTTTATCTTTACCGAAAGAATGCTTCAAATGGACACATACTGGCTAACTGGGCATTTCTCACCTTTCTGTCTCTTTCCCATTAGAACATTGGCACTGGACCTTTAAAACTTGACTACAAAACACTGGCTGCTCTGCCCACCACCAGTCTGCAGAAAATCAACAGGGTATGTCCTGCTTTGTGAACATGCAAAAGTTTAATTTTACTTTTCAGCGTTTGAATATGAAGTCAATGCCTTCAGGTCATACATTTTTGGATATCATGTGTGGCCTTGGGTTGAAACGTCCGTCAATGCTCAGAATAGACCTTCGTGGAATTTATGGTGTTTGTGCCTCTGGAAAATCTGTGACCCTGAGTTGACCGGTCGTACCTTAAAGGAGAACGTAACGTGCTCAAAGTGCATACATCTTAGTTGCTGTGGTTTAAACGGCTCTGAACCAATGTATAAAGCCAATGTGATGTTGATTAGAGCAGCATGAAATGGATTTTACATTAAAGTCACAGCTGGGTGAAGATTCATAAATGAAGGGCGGAGATGAAAATATGGATAAAACATCCCAAGGATCAAAAAGTCTAAAGGACAGGTTCTGTCTTGGTGTGACAGACGGGGTGAGATGGGGGAAGGGAACAGCTGCCCACTATCAACCAAACAACCCTTGGTGATATTTTAAACCTGCATCTGGCTCTGAGTTGGGTGGGTGGGGTGCCCGGCAGGCGGGGAGGAAGTGTGGTCTGCGAGAACCAGACTAAAATCTCATTGTGGACGTACAGCTCTGTCCTGCCATCATCCTGCAGTGAGTTACCTGATCCAGCTTTATTCTCCGTCCTTTGTCATCGTTTCTTGTTCTTATGTTAAACTTGTAATGTTTTTACGTTGTTTTTAGTCGACTTAATGTTTTGGCTTTTCAGAATTTAATTTTACACACATGGCACAACGTAAAAGATCCGTTGGTACTTTTTGCTCACGAACGACAGCACTTGTACATCAACCGTAACTAGCCTTGCCTTTGTGCCCTACTTTCAGATCTGTGAGGACGGCAGCACTTAACCTGTACCGCCAGCAGCTGTTCGTGCTCCGTGTGTTGAAACAGGCCCACGTGGTTCTGCTTACTCTGTAAAATAAGACTTTCTGTGTAGCTGACATCCAGAACATGGCAAACTGAAACACGAGTTAAATATGATTTATTGATTCTGCACAAAAGATATGCCACAGTTTAGGGTAAGGGTTAGTTGTAAATAACTTCCTTTGATTTAGAAAAAACTAATGCTATATGTTATTGTGTGAAACAATTCAGTCTGATATTTTACATTTAGCCATTCATACTTTTGACTAAACGGTTCAGTTGCTGCTTTTCCCACGCGGATGGGGACAGCTCATTTTGTTGGTGACTCGTCGGCCTGACTTTTCTCTCTCACACCTAAAACCCAGCTGTCCCTCGCAGACTGGGTTTGGCACCATTTCACATTCCACCCCTCTGACCCTCAGACTCTTCCAGAGCTGCATCACCACCTCACAATACCTGATGTATTCTTAGTCAGGCTGCCAGGACTATTTTTAGCTCGAGAGAGAGAGAGTGCAGACTTTTTTTTAAATTCATTTATTCATTCATTTAAAAGAAACAAAACAAATTCATCAAAAAGAAATAAAAGGACATTGAATAAAAAGGGTGCAGAAAGAAGAAAAATAATTTTTATATCTGCCCCTTATTTAAAAAAATATATAAAATAACTACAACCTACGCTTAAACAATCTCCAAATTGAAAACAAAAAAACATCAGGCATCCTTCACCTGGCACCATACCGTCCCAACAGTTTTAACTTAATCATCTTTTTAAACATAAAATTTGTTTTAGAAATGTTTATGGCGATATCAAGGCAATTCTATTCTCTGAATTAAAACGCAGCGCTCCTTCAGACTAGTTCTAAATGGAGGTTTTACAAACACTTCCATTCCCTTAAGGTTATAATGACTCTTTTTTAACACATTTTAATTTAATATTTGGGGGTAATTTTTTTTTAAATCTTGATACATGATGTGTAAATACTATATTCAACCAAATCATAAAATTTTAATAATTTCAACAGATGAAATAATATTTGTTGGGTGACCATAGCACTTCCTACTAATAATTCTTATAGCACTTTTTTGCAAAATAAAAATAGGATTTGTAATTGTTTTGCATGCTTTTCCCCAAACTTCAATACAATAGATTAAATATGGAACAATCATTAAATTATATAATATATACAAAGCTTTGTCATTCAAAAACTTTTTTACTTTATACAGTGATGCAATCAATTTTGCCATTTTTATTCTTAAGTTATTTACATGAGATTTCCGTGTCAGCTTCTCGTCAATAACGACACCCAAAAATTTAATTTCATTAACTCTATGAATTTCAATACTGTCAATTTTAAATGGGACTCTGATCATTTTATTTATATTACTAAATATCATGTAGTTATTTTTTTTCCAAATTTAATGATAACTTGTTAAGTTGGAACCAAGTTTGTATTTTTACGAATTCTGCCTGTATCATCTCTAACATTTGTTCAATATCTTCACCCGAACAAAACAATGTGGTATCATCTGCAAATAAAACACACTTCAAAAGCCCTGACACATCATTCAGATCATTCACATACAAAACAACTTTGGTCCCAACACAGAGCCCTGAGGAACTCCACATCCATTACCACCAAATTCAGATCTTACGTCGTTTACCTATTTTTTTTTTATTTTCATTTACCCTTTATTTATACAGGTAGGCTCATTGAGCCACGAGAACTCATGTTCAAGAGAGACCTGTTTAGGGAGCAGATGGTGGGGGTTAAGGGCCTTGCTCAGGGGCCCAGAGTGGGGCGAATGAGGGTGGAGGGAGGTGTTGGTGTTTCACCTTTTCCACCCACATTTTGATGTTTATGGTACCGGAAGGTGAACCTCCGATCACAAGCCCATCTTCTAACCTCTGCGCCACCACTCGCTATGCAAGCTGTCTCCTATTATTCAAATAACTAGATACCCACTTTAGTGCTAATCCTCTAATGCTGTATTTATTCAGTTTTTCAAAGAGAATGGTGTGGTCAATTAGTGTCGAAGTCCTTTTATAAATAAATAAAAACACAAACAATACTGTTTTTGATCACCAACAGTTATCTCTTCTATTAGTTCCATGAGAGCCAGTGACGTTGAATTATTTGCTCTAAACCCATTGACTACTACTTAAAATATTCTGTTTATCTATGAATCGATCTAATCTGGTTACAAATAATTTCTCTAATATTTTTGAAAATAGTGACAACAACTTTTAAGTTATGTGAAAACCTTTTTCCATGTGAGTAGTACAATACCTTTTCTCACTTTGTTTCTGAGAGAATGATGAGCTAAAACGTGAGTTCCTGTCTGCAATAGGTTGATTTAAAGTCAAACCTGAGAGCCAGTGCTGCATTAATGTCTGGCAGCACAGACCACCAGTGGAGTCCTGAATGATGGACACTAAGATACTCATCTTAAAGGCTTCAGAGGAGGTTCAGTGATGGAAGTTCCTCGTTTTAGCATTGGGGCTTCTGTGTCGAGTTTCTATGCATAGATCTACAAAACCAGAAAAGCATTTCTCCTTGTCTTGTTCTGACTTTTGTCTCATTTAATCTATTACTTTATTTATTTACCATAAATAGGAAAAAAAATCAAACTGCCTCTGTAAGCCATCTTAAAGTTTACGTTGTGACTGACAGTTTTGGCAGGTCTCATCCCGTCTCAGCACCTTCTCTCTCTCTTCTTTGCTCCTGTTAAGTTCTCGATCTCTGTTGCTCCCATGGAGGCTCCGCTGCAGGCCGAGTGCGGGTCTCCCTTAAAGCCCACGAGCTTCGGGTTGAGTCAGCCCACCAAACCTCTGAGTCCCACTCTGAACACAGACCATGATGAAGACCAGTGCTCCCCAAATGAGATGTCCACCATCGACAGTTGTGGTTCCACAACAGCATCATCGTTTACTCCTGAAGAGGAAGAGGAGTGCTTGGTGGACTCGCAGCCAATGTGCTTTAAAGAAAACCCTTTCTTAGTGGCTAATCGCAAAGGGAGGGGTCGTCCTTCTGGAGAGCAGATCCTGTCGGGACCTCCGGTGGGCTACGGCCGGCAGGGGAAGCTGCAGCCCTGGTTGTTCAACAAGGCAAGATGCCTGAGTGGAGCTCGGAGGCAGCATGTTGTTCTGCTGTGTTTCACTCACTGGATCCTTAAAGTGTGAAGAGAAATTCAGTCTTTTAATAGACATGTGAATGTGAATTAACAAGTGTTGCCTGTGAAAATTAAACCCCTCGCTCCTTCTCAAATTAGACATTGGTGTCAGTTCTGTGCATTAATCCTGTTTAACAAGGTGGTGCATGGTTTTGCTGTGAGCACAGCTTGTGGCATCTCTTAAGGCGTTCAGGGGCCTCGGCAGTCCATATCGAGTAGAATGGCTGACTCAGCAGCTTCAAGGAAGATCACAAGTAGCCATGAAAGAATGCAGACTGTGAGGTGCACAGAAAAATGCATGGTTATCAGCAGGTTTTATTTTTGCTTGTCCAATTACTAAGAAATAATTCACATGACTGTCCTGTATGTTTGAGTTCCTTGCATTGAAGCCATGGCAGGTCTTTAAGACAGCAGTTGAAATGTTTTTGTTTTTCTACTCTAGGTGCCTTCTTCCGACTACACCAGGACGGACAGTCCGATCAGAGATGCACCTTACTCTCCAACTATCCAGCCGGTGAGCTGCTCCAACACCCAGCCACTCTCCAGTAACCACTACCTGCCATCACAACATCTTTTAATTTACTTTATCCTTCTCCCATGAGTCACTTCTAGCTCTTTAGAGGAGGTATTTCACAGCTGACCCTCTTGACCTTCCTTCCCACCCTTAGCCCAGCCACCACTCCTCCAACAGCTCCCTGTGTGCAGGCAGGGAGACCCGCTTTGTAAGTGGGTTTGTGGCCATCTTTGCAGATGAGACTGCTGCCCTGAGCTCTGAACAGCATGTGAATGCTTCACGATGCCAAGCTGATTACTGATGCTTTGCTTTGTGCATTAATTTGTGAGGGACTGCCCCTAAACTCTGCTGACCAGCTATGGCTTCATTTCTCAAAGAATACCAGGAACATCGTCAGCTCATAGGATCATAGATGCACTTGCACACAGAATGTCACAAAGGACAATTAAATGAGCTCCAGATTAACCCTGGTGTTTTGTTTGAGAAGATTTTATGCAGCTTTCCATCATACTAAAAAAAGACTTTTAATAAAAATGTAGATACAGTTTGCACAGTTGGTTGAATTTAACATAGATGTTGCTGACGTGTGCATTTTTACATCAGAGTCATAGAATTTACCATTTAATTTAGTTTGAATGTTTTTTTTTCTGCAGGCAAACGTTCATTTCACCTCCACTCCCACTGTCAAGGACAACACGTCACCATCAGTGAGTGTCTACGAAGCTCTGAGGAAACATTATGTATGTTACAGAACAGAAGAGGAAACTAAATAAACTATAGAAATTGCATTTCCTGCGAAAATGCAGTGTGAATGCTTATTGCTGAAGAACTTGCTGAAAAACAGCTGAAATTAGCTTAAAAACCATGCTGAAATGGAACAAGCCTAAGTTAGTAGAAGAAAGCAGAAGGAACACAGATGTGCTGAATTAGGTTTAAAGAAGCAGAAATTAGCACTAAACATTGGAAATTAGCTAAAAATAAAGAGCTGAAATGTGCAAAACATAGCTGTAAAGTAGCTGAAAAGGCAGAAAGAAGCTTTAGCATAAACTACCAGAAGGAAGCGTAAGGAACTGAAATGAACTAAAAAAAAAAAAAAAGGTGGAATTATTAGGCTGAAAGGAGCAGAAAGTACAAAAAAATGAAATTATCTGGAAAAAAAAGCTTAAATTAGCGCGCACACAAAAAACTGCTGAAAAGTAGCTAAAACAGCAGAAAGAAGCTTAAATTACCCAAATGAAATTGAGAGAGCACATTTTTGCTGAATTAGGCTGAAAACGGTTGAAATTAGCTAAAAAAAAAAAAAATGGAACTGGCCGAAAAAGGTAAAATGAGCATAAACAATGTAAATAGTAGCTAAAACGGCAAAAAAAAAAAAGTAAGAAAAAAGCTGAAACTTGTAGAAACAAACTGAAAGGAGCATAACGAGCTGATATTAGCAGAAAGAAGTTAGAAGAAGCACAAAAATGTTGTAGTTAGCAGAATACAGCAGAAAGAAGTACAAAAGTGCTGAAAAATCATCTGAAAGTAGCTGGAAAAAAGTTTAAATTTGCACAAGGACACTGAAAGAAGCTGAACCAGAGACAAAGGTTGTAAACAGATCTAAAGACTTGAAGGATGTAAAATGAGCTCAATTCATTTTCTATGAGGAAAAATAGGAGAAAAGGCCAAATATTTCAAAAAGCTAAAGTTGCTCCAATACCAAAAGTCATAGCACCCTTCTTCTGAAAGTGCTCAACGTTTTGATATAAGATTTGTTGAAATAACACAAAAGTTATGGAACGAAAAAGATGTTGAAAAACGTACAGAAGAAAAATGGATCACAACAGTGTGAATGCTTCATAAACATTTAGACAATTACCGTAATTACTGGACTATTGATCGCACCTGAATATAAGCCACGCCCACTAAATTTAAAAAGGAAAAAAAATTGGACATAAATAGGCCACGCTTGTATAAAAGCCGCGGGTGTCCACGTTGTAACATGAGCTATTTACACAGAAAGATTTTTTAAACTTTGAATTAAATACATACCAGTAACATACACAAATACGTACAGTAAAGGATTTTTCTGAACAGTGTCTGTAGCACAGCTGGTTAAACTGAGTTTATTGCAGCTCATAGGATTGACAAAGTATTTTGGATAAAAGACGAAACATTTCAACAACATAAATCTGTCCAGAGGACCTGATCACTCTGATAGATTTATTTATACAGGTAGTCTCATTGAGTCACGAGGACCCACCCCTATTGGGCAGCTATGTGAGCGCCCAGATATGACGAGGCTAAATGTTTGGCAGTACGAAGCTCGTTAGCTCGCCAAAAAAAAAGCCATAAATTAGCCGCAGCATTGTATAATCAGGGGTGTTCAAAGTGTGTGAAAAAAGTAGCGGCTTATAGTCCGGAAATTACAGTAATTGACCTGTTAGGACATGCTTAGGTCTTTATGGGTCAACCTCAACCATCATTTGATGGATATGTTGTCATGACTCCCAACAAATATATTTAATCTAAAACTGACATTAAATGATTCTGGATTAAGTCCTAAATAAGTTTTTTCAGAACACGTGTGTGTGTGCATTATACCTCATTATTAAATAATTTCTGCTCCAACTCATTTTAGCCATCAACTCCATTTATTTTCAGTTTTCATTCACTTTAAAGTTCAGCATCTGAGGAGTCTTTCTTGAGAAAATGGTTTGCTTTCTTTCCAGACACGACCTGGTGCCATCCAGCCAATTGGCCGAGCGAAGCCCAGCACCTCCCCCGTCACTCCGGAGGGCCGTAGTCCTAACCCCTTTCAGCATGGCCCCTCCCCATTCAACTCCCAGACCTCTGTAAGACCCCTCACCACCACGTAGGGCTGGTCCTTAAAAACTCTGCTGTCTGCTGAGGCGGCGCACCCAAAAACAAAAAAGAACGTGTATTATTGTGTTTGAATGGACCGAGCAGCCAGGTCTGTTCAGGTGTATCTGTTTACCCTCAGACACACCTGGAGGTCATATGTCAGAACTCCACTGGTACTGAGCTCAGAGCTGAATCAACCATACCTGAAAAAGATTTCAGATTTCTCAAACGTCACTAATTTATTCTTGTGGCAAGCAGTAAAATTGAATGTAGAAAAAATATTTTTAACTCCTCACCACCTGATTGTTTCACAGAGGTGTTAAAACAGGAACAACAATCTGCTCTGCCTGTCCAAGCCCTACTGTCTTGTCTTTCTCTGCATTCCTCCTCCTCTCACATTAAACCACCTGCTGCTCACCTGTTCTCCTCCAGTCCTCTTAAACTGTGCAGGGTTTTTTTTTCATTGTCTACCTTCTGCTCCATGTCTGTTTGTTCTCCCCTGCCTCCTTTACCATATGGACTCACTTTCCATGACTCCTCCCACTCCCTGCAGCCTCGCGCCCCCTCCCCCTTATCGCCCGACGAGTTTCCATTGAATGTCAAGCAGGCATACAAGGCGTTTGCCGCCGTGCCTCGTTCACTGGCTGTGCTGGAGCCACCGCAGGTAGGACGTGCTGACTGCACTGAGCGGGTCACGACACAAGCATGCTGTGTTGACTGGTTCATCTGGCTCCGCCCCCTTCCACCTGTCCAAAGCAGGCTGACCTAAGTCGAACCTGTGTTGTCATGGGGGTTCTGTGACGTGCTGTGACATGTGGAATGTGCTCATTGTTGGTTTTTGTGCTTCATTTCCATCACCTGTCATACTGGTGTTGAATTCTGATCCATTTGTGTGGCTCATGCACTAATATTTGATCCTATATTTACTCTTTATTACCGTATTTTCTGCCGTACATGTCGCACCGCCTTATAAGTCGCATCAGTCCATATATGTCTAATAAAGTGGGAAAAAAAGCATAAATATGTCGCTTCGTCATATACATTGCATCTATTATGCATCACTGCTGACAACCTGGAAACGTGGGTCGTGTTGTGCCAAAAATCGATTGGCTGCCATATGGCGGCCGCGGGAGCGTGCACGGGAAGACTTGAACAAGAATTTAACAAAATTAACATTTAAAAACAATTATTTGTTTGCTTGAAATTATACCATACCATACCAGTTTATTTATAGAGCACTTAAAACAGCAACAAGGCATATAAAATAAAAATATAGATACAAATAGCAGTGGATAATAACTAATTTATAGCAAAGATGTGTCTCAGTCGAACTTTTACTTAATAAATGCATTTTGCCAGGGCGGCGCAGCGAAATGAAGCAGGTTTGATGTTTGCTCCAGGCATAATCCTGGAGCTGGACAAAGGTGGGATGCTATGGCAAGCCGATTGTGTCATTAATAGCCACTTTTACCTATTACATGACACAACGCCATGCTATACTACTCGAGTGCCATCTAGTGGCTGAAAATGGTAGTGTTCAATATTTTCCATGTTTGAATGATGAAAATGGTCATAGCCAAAAATTGGATTATAAATATGGGGAAAAAACATAAATAAGTAGCTTCAGCGTATACGTCGCCAGGTATACAAATTAGGCAAAAAGGTGTGACTTATAGGCTGGAAAATACGGTATACTCCAGCTGCTAATCAGCCTGTTCATTGTCTTTTTCTCTTTTCGTCACCATCAATCATTTCTGCTCTGCCAACAGGACTTATATGCTGGGAGGAACAATATCCACCCAAAGCAACCTTCTCCAGAGGTGAGTAAACATTACTGTTTATTACTGTTTAATTCCATAATATTGGCGTAAACTGATGTTTATAGTTTTATTTCACCCTTGGATTTTTAAAAAGCCTGGTTTGCAGTTACTTTACACATCAATATAAACTTTAACTTTTATTAATCTTCAAGTTAAATGTGCTGCTTTATTGGGTCCATTTAGGAGCTGAACACAGATTCTGTTGCTGTCTAAATGCACTCATGTGCTCTACTGATGTATTTGGCCTTTTTAGCTTGAGATGAACGACGAGGTGTTTGTTAATAAAAGTGCTGGTCAGGATCTGACCAGTAAGGTCTCGCCCCGGTCCTCCCTCTCATCTGATCGGCGGGAGTATATGAGCCTGGCAGCAGTGCCTCGCCTCTCCAGGCTGTCCTTGGACCTGCAGGTATCCACCGCCTTCACCTCGACTAAACCAGCCTTGTTCTTCGTTGAGGCTGTGGGGTGCTTGGCTTGAGCGGTGGTGGCTTCTCTGCTCCCAGAAACTAAAATAATAAAATACTCCTGTCAGTAATGGGACTGTCAGTGTTCGCTGATGTGACATCAGTGAAATGGGGCTGGGTGTTTCCTCTTGGTCTGATGCTTCTGTCCTTCAGCATCACTGGCTGTACAACAACACAACTGTTTGTAGCTGTGTTAGTAGGAATGCTGCAGGAGTTCATTAATTATCTGTCCCTGTAACTCCACAGAGCCCTTCTCCCGGTGGCAAGGGCAGTCCAGAACAGCGCTCGTTCAGGGACAGGCAGAAATACTTTGAGATCGACGTGAAGCAGCAGACGCCAGAGAAACCAAAACCCAGGGTCTCCCTGGTCGGAGAGGACGACCTCAAGAAAATGAGGGAGGAGGAAGGTTTGTTTTTTACTGCTGTTTCAAAAAATCAATAGAAACATGACAACTTGGTTGATCTTTAAATTTTTTTCCAGAGCGTAAGTTTGAGCTGCGGGCACGGGAGTACCTGATGGATGAAGATGAAGACGATGAGGAAGAAGACCTGGCTAAGCAGGTGGCGCAGATGAAGGCTACAGGAAAAGTCTTGTTGGATGGAGTAGAGTACAATGTGGAGCCAGTGTCTGCCCCGTCGCAGCACTGCTCCACACCTCCAAACTACAACATCCCATCCAGCTATGGTGAAAGCTCAGGGTAAGAACTGAAATATTTCACATTTTGGTTTATCTTTACGACTTGGCTTCATTATTTCCTGTGCGCAGAACTTCCTCTGTGGACGGTAAAGAAGACGCCCAAAGGAATTCACTGGAGGACAGTTTCAGGCACGACCAGAGGCCTAACTCTATGACTGGGTAATTATAATTAACAGAACCCGTTTCACAGATCTGTGAACTAGAGAATGACACAGGAGTGGATTTTCACTCCTGTCCCAATCCTGGTCCAGAGTAAAAAAAATTAATCCTGTCCTGTCCCACTCCTGGTAACATGACTCCCACTCCTGTCCTGCTCCTGTTTTTCATTTAATTTTTAGGAAATACATTGAATTTGATCTGATCTTCTACCCATTCCTGTTTAAATTACTTTGTGTTGTGCATTTTTATTTCAAAAGATATGGCAACAGGAACAGTTCATCTGTGGTGAAATAGAGACATTTATTTCCTTAATCCAAACAAAAACCTTCACTAAATGTCATAAAACAAATAATACATGGCCTGTTGTCCATATAATTTTTCTACGGAGGATCAGCGGTTGAGTCCTTGTTTCTGGCTCTTTTGAAGGTCAGTTACAGTAAAAACAAAAAATCAAAACCAGTACATGGGTCACACCATGTCTATCTTACATGAAAGAACCCAAACATAACAAGTTGCATTTTACTAATTTATTGAGCAATTGTTTCCTTTAAACAGTGACATTACTGTCATGTTTTAAATTGTTTAAATAAACAAACCAAAAAAAAGAAAAAAATAATGTACCAAGCAAGAGAACAAATAAAAATGTTTAAAGGCATTATTATACATTGGACGACGTCCTCAAGAAGTTCAGTCTATGTGGTCGAGGTAACGAGCTCGTTTGGGTGAAGCATGATGTCGTGCATCTTACCAGACTTCAGAGCATCATTTACACACTGGATCATTGCAGGTCTGGTGTTCCACCTCATCACTCCACAGCTGGACCAGTCCAGAGCCTTGTGTAACCTAAAAGTGAAAGAAGACAGTGCACGAGTCAAAATAGGGTTACCGTGACTACAAATTACAATCTGTTGGCCTTTCTTTTGGAAAAAAATATTTGATCAAAAACAAGATTTACAATTGAAATTAAGTCAAGAAAATGTGACATTTGCAAATATAAATTACACAAGCTCAATTTTTCTTTATTTATTTCACTTATATTTTATAATTATTTAATCAGCCTCACCAGGCAGAGATTACAAGATGTTATGTATCTTACCTGCTCTTTTGAATTGTGTGACAAGGGTCTTTGTGTCCAAAGCTGTTTAACAGCTTGCTTCCAGAGCTAACAGCTTCCTGTGTTAGGTAGAAACATTAAATTAAATTAAAGACAAACAAAAAGCTTAGTGCTACTTCTTGTGCCATGCTTTCTAAAACAGTTGTTGAATAAAGGATTTACTTATGTAGGTAAACATAGATGTTTTTAAACCTGTTAAAATACACCAGAATGCAGGAAATAGCAGCTACTTTATTTAAAAAGTTATGGTGGAGGACCCACAGACCTCACACCAATATGTCCCCCCTACAATAACAGTTATTATAATGTGTAACCAGCCTTTCATATTAGAACTGGGATATTTTTACCGGAGAATGCGTGCACTTTAACCAGGAAGAGTTCGTTTTTTTGGGGGTTTTTTTTACATTACAAACAGCAACAGATAATGAAGATTTTAACCTAAAAACCCACATAACAAAGCAGAGCATAATTTTTAAATTAAAAGGGACATGGTGGAGAAAAATGTGCTGTTTGAGTCTGTTCATTTACAAAGTCCAACTCCCCGCAGCTCCTCACAGCTGAGACTAAAGTTTAAAGCAGCACAGCACCAACACAACTCATGAAGTTCAGGGTTATTTGACACTTTCCTGCCTGTTCTGTGAGTTTAATAGACAGACAGTTACTTCTTACCTTGCTTTGCAAACTATTTTCAGTTACTCGGTACCGCTTCGCTCGCTGCTCCTCTCCCTCTCGGAGAAAAGCTACGGCTCGAACACTTGACTCCTGGGAAATGTAGTCCTTTTGACTTGTGTTAAAGTGAAGGCTTACTGAAAGAAAACTACAAAATAGTTGCGCCCGTGTTTTATTTTTTTGTTGTTTGTTTGTTTCATTTTCATTTTGGGTTATTGGTCGGTTCCCGCTCCTGTCTGCTCCCGTTAGCTTTCAGTCCGGTCACGTGAGTTATAATGATGTTGACTCCGGTTCCACTGGAATCCGGCCGGAATCACGTGACCGGCGGTACTCCCGAAAAAATGTCATCCTCTACTGTGAACGTCTACGTTCCGTCACTCACACGTCATTGTTTTTTATGTCTCATCAGTCTGATCTCGGCTCACCCCGAAGAGTTGTCCGCCCCCATCCGCACGGCCAAGGCAGAACGAAGACAACAAGAGAGACTTCGCATGCAGAGTCCTGAGCTGGCTGTGGCCCCCGACAAGGACCTGTCCCCTGCAGAGAAACGAGCTCTGGAAGCGGAGAAGAGGGCCATGTGGAGGGCAGCACGGTAACTGCACCAGAGTTTCACACTTTACAACAAACTCATTTAAAAAAAATTTTAAAAGCCACGTGTGACATTTTGTACATTTGTGATGACAAACTCAACGTTTAGAAACTTTTTATTTGCTGCTGCATTGAGGTTTAGAAATGATAAATATAGAGCAGAGGGTTGTGGATCCTTTGTTTCAAATGTCTTCAGTCGTACGGTTATTTGATGTGAAGAACTATTGTGTGTTGTGTGTTCACCCTAATGTCCTGTCTTCAACTGATTTATTATTAGTGTTTTACTTTCCATTCTTGGGTTTTCTTCTCTTTTTCTGTTCATGCCAATTTTCCCTCTTCCCATCCTTCGTTCATCCTGGAATACTCTTCATCCCACTCCCTCTTCCTCCCCCTTTCATCCTCTTCATCCGTTCTCTGTGGCCTCGTGGGGCCCAGGCCTTATGGCCTCGAGGAGGATGTTAGACAGTATGAGCAGGACCTGGCAAAGAGGCTCTACCAGGCCAGAGTGAGGGCCGCTCAGGGCGCAGCTGCACCCCCCCAGCCCCATTCTTCCTCCTCTGCCTCCGCCTCTGCAACCTCCCAGCTCAGGTCTGCTCCTTGGCCCCAGCCAGGCCAGACGCACGGCATTATGGGGTGGGCTGGGGCGCTTTGGGGTATTTTGCTAGAAGCCAAATTCAGAAAGCTCCAAGCAAGCAGAGCAACACTAACGGTGCCTTCACTGCCTTCCTAGTTTTGTTTGGCTGCACGTCTTTAGACATTTTCATTTCTAGCTGCTTTTGGCTTCAGCCTCTCTCTCCTGTCTTGTCCTCCCCCTGCAGCACTTTTCTTTATTTGTGCCTTGCTATTCTCAGTTTTTTTTATACTAACACTACGCCCGCAGTAAGTTTGCAAGCTACTGTGAGTTAAGGGTAAACCTTAACCATCCTTTTCCTGGACTGCCCCCTTTTACTCTTTGTTTTTTTTTTAATTTTCAACAAAATAAGATTGTATGAGCAATCCAGGACAAGGAGCACCTGAAGTTAGCAGCGATTCTGCTAAAGTGAGGCTGCTTTATATTTCCGAGGCATTTTTCTGATCGGTTTTGTTTGTTTGTTTCCCGTGTAGGATGAAGTCTCTGGAACAAGACGCACTGAAAGCTCAGATGGTCATTGCCAAGTCTCGAGACGGAAAGAAACGTGGGACGTTAGACCAGCTGACGGAGTCGCCCTCGCCTGCTCCAACACCTTCTCCTACTCCAGTGGAAGGTAAGTCATTTTTATTTACACCCAGCTGGATTATGAAGAAATGTTAAACCATCTTACTTGAGCACGTTTTGTCTCTTTGGCAGAGCTCAGTCCTCGAGCACTAACCTCACCGGGCAGGCTGGTAAGCACTTTACATTTTACACCTGCTCCTTAAGTTGTGTCTTAACACATGATGATTTTTCTTCCTTCCACTTCACAACTTCTCAGGATGAACTCCTCTCAGAGTTTGTTTACATGTGGAGAGCTTGTATCGTAAACTATACCAACCTTAGCTTTAATATAGACATTATGATTTAAGGAGCTTTCTTTAAAAATAAAATGAGTAGGGGTTTTTGTAGAAGGTGGCAACGGATCATCTGCTAAAACACACACAGCGCCATGAATCCACCGTCCTGCTTTAAAATCAACGAGCTGACAACACATTGCTCACCTCACGCCTAAGCTGGCTCACCCATTAGCCTGTTCTGCCTTCCACCCTTTATTTTCCCATTTTCCTCCTCCTCTCTGTACACCGCCCCACCCTCCTGATTCCTCCATCCTTGTTCTCATCCTCACCCTCTGCTCATTCCTGTTTGCTATCCTTCTAGTCCCTGTCATCAAAGAAGTTTGACTACCGACAGTTTGCCGCCATTCCTTCTTCCAAACCCGTATACGACATCCAGGTATTGGCTGCATGCTGAGCTCTGGGGGCTCTGGCCGCCTCCTCCCTCCCCCTGGCTTTCCCTGCTGCCTCTCCCCTCTAGTTTCTGTTGATCGCGGCATCGTGACGCTGCTGTCGGGGTTAAGGCTCAGAGATGAGCTGAGCTGCCTGGTGTCGGTGTGCCACACTAACCTGAACTGACATGAATACTTTTAATGACGGCTTCCCAAGATAAATATTCAATATAAACATCTTTATCAGTAACCATTCACCTCTGTTTCAACTAACTGAGTCTCAGACACACCTGCTGCAAAGATACAATGTTTTGATTTCACTAACAAGAATCAGTTCTGATCACAGATTCTGGCTCACTCTCACTCCACTTCCATCTTTTCTTTTTTTTCGTGCATGGGTCAAGCAGAAGAACTTCCATCATATTTCTCATTTTCTGGCTCTTGGAACGTTGATTTCCTTTTCCCTTCATCTGTGTAATAACTGTTTTTTTAGCTCCTTTGTGGAGAAAGAGACAGGAGGGGAAGCAGGGGGATCCTGGGCTTGTTGGACCTGCAGTGAACATGGTTTTAAAGCGGTCGTAATGTTTTGGGTCATGTTTGTACGTTTGTCGGGTCACAGAACACGCACGTTTTGTGGCGTCTGAATTTGTTGCTCAGTGTTGTTTGTGTTCTGTCTTTAGTTGTAACTGTGTTGTTAGTGTCACATTGTGTGTTAGAACTAGTGAGTTGGTTTAGCAGATGAGCAGAATCGTCCAGTTTTAGGTTGACGGGCTCGACTGATGCCCAGCACTCAAAGAACACGTTCACTTTTTGTTCTATAACAAACAACCGCTAAATTGTTAATTAGCTTTTTTCCCCATTAAAAAAATGAAAAGGAATTTTTTATTTTTTTTATCAGGAATGTGTAAATGAAGTTTAGTATTCTGCCAGTTGTAGAATCAGCCAAAATCCTAATCAACATGTCAGAGCTTCATGAAGATCAGAAATCTGTGCAGTCTAGAAAACTGATCAATATATTTATTCTAAGTTCCCTTTTTGAAAGTTGGACTTTAATAATCTCAGAAATATGAGCGTTAAACAGGTTCTCTGTAAATGGGGACTGTTTCCCTGCTTGAGCATCTGTGCTGTATCTACACCATCGACAGTCAGTGGGTCAAAAATAAAGTAAATGTTTAATCAGCATCATTAGTCACAGGGTCAGTATTTAAAAATGTACAAGAAGGATTTAAACAAATTGCAGAACAACTGTTGGGTCTGGATTATTGTCTAAAGTCCTGCAACAATCTGAAAATAAAGGTAGGCTTTCTATGTGTTTTGATTTACAAGCCTTTAAGTTAGGGATGCACAATATCAAATTTTTGGCCGATATCCGATATGTCGATATGTTAAAACTTATTTAGGCGATAACCAATACCAATATTTTCCCCCTAGACCTACTTACAGAGACTACATATATATATCTGCTGTGGAATTAAACTACTACATTATTCTGCGTGGTCTTTGTCAGTCTGTCCTGCTACCAAATGCAGATGTCAAAGAAGGGGCTGAAAATGATGTAACACTTCAACTTGGATTATGTTTAATGTCAAATTTATTCATAATATTTACTCTCTCTAACACAATGACAACACTAGAACAGTGCGTATTTGTAAATTTTCACAAATCTAAACTCAACGGTGCGTGTGAAATCATAACGTTGTGCTGGCGCTGCAGACATCCTTGTCACTGGGTTGTCATACAAAAACAGCGCCTTTTACATAAGGTCCTTCTCAAAAAATTAGCATATTATGATAAAGGTCATTATTTTCCATAATGTAATGATAAAAATGAAACTTTCATATATTTCAGATTCATTGCACACCAACTGAAATATTTCAGGTCTTTAATTGTTTTAATACTGATGATTATGGCATACAGCTCATGAAAACCCAAAATGCCTGTCCCAAAAAATTAGCATATTTCATCCCACCAATGAAAGACAAGTGTTTTTAATACAAAAAACGCCAACCTTCAAATAATCATGTTCAGTTATGCACTCAATACTTGGTCGGGAATCCTTTTGCATGAATGACTGCTTCAATGCGGCGTGGCATGGAGGCAATCAGCCTGTGGCACTGCTGAGGTGTTATGGAGGCCCAGGATGCTTCGATAGCGGCCCTAAGCTCATCCAGAGTGTTGGGTCTTGCGTCTCTCAACTTTCTCTTCACAATATCCCACAGGTTCTCTATGGGGTTCAGGTCAGGAGAGTTGGCAGGCCAATTGAGCACAGTAATAACATAGTCAGTAAACCATTTACCAGTGGTTTTGGCACTGTGAGCAGGTGCCAGGTCGTGCTGAAAAATGAAATCTTCATCTCCATAAAGCTTTTCAGCAGATGGAAGCATGAAGTGCTCCAAAATCTCCTGATAGCTAGCTGCATTGACCCTGCCCTTGATAAAACACAGTGGACCAACACCAGCAGCTGACATGGCACCCCAGACCATCACTGACTGTGGGTGCTTCACACTGGACTTCTGGCATTTTGGCATTTCCTTCTCCCCAGTCTTCCTCCAGACTCTGGCACCTTGATTTCCGAATGACATGCAAAATTTGCTTTCATCTGAAAAAAGTACTTTGGACCACTGAGCAACAGTCCAGTGCTGCTTCTCTGGAGCCCAGGTCAGGCGCTTCTGCCGCTGTTTCTGGTTCAAAAGTGGCTTGACCTGGGGACTGCGGCACATGTAGCCCATTTCCTGCACACGCCTGTGCACGGTGGCTCTGGATGTTTCTACTCCAGACTCAGTCCACTGCTTCCGCAGGTCCCCCAAGGTCTGGAATCGGTCCTTCTCCACAATCCTCCTCAGGGTCCGGTCACCTCTTCTCGTTGTGCAGCGTTTTCTGCCACACTTTTCCCTTCCCACAGACTTCCCACTGAGGTGCCTTGATACAGCACTCTGGGAACAGCCTATTGGTTCAGCAATTTCTTTCTGTGTCTTACCCTCTTGCTTGAGGGTGTCAATGATGGCCTTCTGGACAGCAGTCAGGTCGGCAGTCTTACCCATGATTGCGGTTTTGAGTAATGAACAAGGCTGGGAGTTTTTAAAAGCCTC